CTAATTATATATACCTGCTATCTGCCAACAACCCTACATTTTCTGAGATCATGAACAAACCAAAGCTATATCCATTTTTTTCAGATGCTATTGGTGCCATCAATGGCACACATATTGCTTGTGCATCATCAGCTGTGGAACACAATTTCTTACACAACCAAAAGAGCAGTATCACCCAGAACTGCCCGGCTTGTTGCAGTTTTATTCTCCAGTTCCTTTATATGGGTGGAAGGGTTCAGCTATCTATAATAATGCTTGTCAGCACAATTCTCATGTTTCTGCTGGTAAATATTATCTGGCAGATGCTGGTTTTACACCTTCCCCACAGCTCTTGGTTTCTTACCAAGGGGAACATTATAATTGGGCTGAATGGGGTTAAGTGGGACTCAGGTGAGTTTTTCTTCTTCTTCTATCTAGGTGCAAGAGGCCCAAGAGCAAAGAAGAGCTCTTTAACCTTCAACACACTCAAGTGCATAACTGTATCAAGCACATTTTTGGCAGCTTTAAGTGTCATTTTTGGATCCTTTTCTGTCTGCCTGAATTTAATATGGATGTACAAGCACATGTCCCATCATTCTTGTGCATGCTACACAGTTATATCTGAATACACAATCCTGATGATGTCCAAAAATTGCCCAAAAATGCTATGCCTTCCTTGGTCAGTGCTGGTTCTTTGTCTGATAGGCCACCAACCCAGACAAGTCAACTTGAAGCAAATCTAGGATAGCAATCACTGGGGGCAATTGCATATGTTGTGTTACAAAATACCCAAGAAACATCAAAAGAGTAGAGACTTTATTTCTTGCAATGTTTGTCTCAAAAACATTGAAAAATAAATGCCAGATGTTTTTGCTATGTTTTCTGGGTGTACATCTTGATAAACATTTTTAATAAATTTGGCAAAGACAAGTAGGTTTATAAAGGTGGAAAACAATATTATGAGGTGATTGTTATAAAATGTTTACCAAGGTTTTGTTTCAAAAAGCATAGCAAAAACATCTTGAATCTTTTTCTCAATGTTTTGGGGGAAAATATCATAAAAAACAAAGTCTCTATGCTTTCAATGTTTTTTGGATGTTTTGTAACCCAACATGTGAAATTGTCCCTAGTGAATGGATATGTGGATGTCATACTGAATTGCAAGCTAGAGGGGCTGTGTAAACAAATTTTCCGGTATCTTTCTCTTATATTTGTACACATATGAATAACAAACAATTTGACTCCATCCATACTTCATATAGATTTACAGTTTACTACAAGCACTGGGGGCAAAATTCCATGCTATATATGAAAACATTTGAAAACCACTTGAAAAATAGAGACTTTGTTTCTTAGCAAATTTCCTTACACAACATTGGAGATATTTTGCTCACTGTTTTTTCAATATTTTCACATAAAATATTAGGGAAAACATCCAAAATATATTATCACAAAACATTTTTCCACTCAATGTAGATGTACTACTGATTACCAATGTTTTGCAGAAATATATTTTGTATATTTTCCCCAATGTTTCTTAGGAAAACATTGGAAGAATATTGAACAAAGAATTTCCAATATTATTCAAAAAAACATGCTAGGACACAAAGTCTCTATTTTTCAAGTGTTTTTTTACATGTTTTATTATAAAACATAGGATTTTGCCCCCAGTGAAGGATACAATGGCTTAAAGACAACTACAACAATGCAGGGGGAGAAAATGTTGCACTCTGCCTCAACAACTTAGCTGCCTGCATCTGTATGTACATGCTGTGACTCAGTCTTTACCAATCAATGTGGATTGAGGTGTCAGAGGTGCTTGGAGGGCAATGTTGTATCCTACTTGTAGTGTAATTCCAAGTTCTAACACCAGATGTGTATCAGATGAGAATGTGAGGCCATACTATTGTTGGACAATAGGTGCAATTGGTCTGGGGAGAAGTTGAATAACTCACCAGTCATTGAGCTTGAGACTGCTGGAACTTGACCAGTAGATATAATTTTTAGTTTTCTAGCTGCCTATGTAGAAAAATAAGCAAGAACTTGAAGCATTGGAGCAGCGGAACAAAACCGAAAAGACGACACATGTTTTGGAATGGTTCTGCCTGTTTCAGTCGCTTAGTCGCGACTTCATCATTGTTTTTGTTTCTCCAGACGCTTTGAGGCCCCAATCAGCTCAGTAAGTATCTGACATTGTAGGGGCCTATGATAGCTATTGATGTTTTCTAGAAAGATATTGCAATGTTCCCAGCACAAGATCTGGTCAAATCTGGCCATCTTCCTCTCAAAATTCACACTTCTGGAGTTCAAGAGCATAGATTGTCCTTGTTGCTACAGATAAGCTATTCACTAAATCCTTTCGCAGTTATATTCTCTGTACTCTATTCTACATCTGACAATTTTCTAGCTACCTGTACAGTAATTATTGAGCCTCTGGAGGCCCAAGTGCATATCTCTTACCGGTTGCATCTGGTGTCCAACGATAGTATGGCTTGGTTGCCACCTGAACTCAAAATGGCGCCAAAGCTGAACACCTAACCTCAATTTGTGGTTTTGAACCCCAGTTAACCAGAATCGGACATCGGACAATAAGTAGCCTGATGGTCAAGTTACTTGCATCCAAATATGAAACGGTCAAAGCACTTTGCTTCAACATCAAAGCGCACCCTCCGCTCGCGATGGCGTGGCCTTTGCTTGGATCAGTGGCCATTGTGAGCTTAAATGCTGTATACGAGAATCAGATCTCGACTATACTCCTTCACTTTGGACTACACCATCGCATTTCCTTCACACTTCCAAAACAGCTGTTCTCAAACAGCTCTTCGTGCAGTATCCTTCCATATCTAGGATCCTACTCTCCTATATCTTGGTACTCTACTCGATAACTTACTGCAAGCGTCCTCGTCTCTACGTCATCTGCGCCTAGCTCACCGACAAGTAGTAGTTCTACAATGCCAGTCGAAGCAGGCGAAGATTTGAAAACCCTCACGCAGTCAGAACTTGCAACAGCATACAGACATTGGCGAGATGTTACACCGTAAGTACCTATTCCGCAGCTTTGGCTGCGCTCTTCTTAGCATCTCTACAGTCTGGAGATGAGAGAGTTCTACGACGCCATACAAGCTGCCCCTGCGGATACGTTTATTCATCTTCAAGGAAGCGTACAAGCACGAGACGTCGATGACGACGCCACGGACGATGGCGAAGATGATGCGGTGGAACAATACTATATCGCCATGCTGGAAAGGCGGGCTAAAAGAGTCCAAGAATTGAAGGAGAATGTTCCCCTTCCCGTCAAAAAGCCTTCAGGAAATGCCCTTCGAGAATTAGGCGGTCGGATACTCCAGAGGAATCAATCTGCATTCAACAGGCCACAGACCACTATTTCAGACCTTCACGAGACAGTTCTGCAGCCTAAACTCCACCACACCCAGACTACATATATATCAAACCGCAATGAGGGTGCTTCTTACTCTACCCCCATGATGGAAGAAGCCCCTTTGCGAAAGCCCAACCGTTCTCATTCAATCTCAATCGACGACACATTAGCTAGACAAGCCCCTGCTTTCCCCATTCACTCTACATCGCAAACTCAAGGACGTCAAGAAATGTGGAACAGCTTTCCAGGCTCGAACAATATGCCGACGTCTACTGCATTTATCACTACTGCCCCTCAATGCGACTACGGAATGGTGGAAATGGTCGATTTAACGGAAGAAGGCCCCTTTTACCCATCAGTCCAGCAACCTCATGCTACGAATAATGACGATAGAATGGCGCACGTATCCGACTGGATGCATTCTCTTCCTACGTCCATGGAGGACTGTGAACCGATGTCTCTAGTCCCAACCTCGGCCCCGGTCTGTTTATTCGATCAGGAAATGATTTGTTCGCCAGACGTCAGACTTGAACCAATCCCAATTATACCACCTCCGCAACCTTTCTCGCTCCCACCATTTCCCCAGTCCTCTCATCACCCCAACAATGTTACTACTGCGCTGTGTGACAGGCCATCTCATACCCAGAGCACATTCCAAAGCACCTCGTTCCAGCCTCAGCCTCAGCTATTTCAACCTTTTCACTTTGAAACGGCCACTCCCCCAATGCAATATGAGTTTTTTGGACCGCCTCTTTTCACGTTACAGCAACCCCCCATTGCACACGTGCAAAGCCAATTCGAGCCAGCGGTAGTTTCGTCGACATGGCTTTCGTTCGATCAAAACGGCTCGATGCCGCCGGTAGAATCCCACAACCTTTACATCCCTGTACAAGCACAGCAGCCGTCTACTGTGGTCTCTGCGATACCCGTATCACTACCTCCCGTACCCTCGTGTTCTGCGCCTCTGGAGTTGGGCCCCTCTTGGCGCAGCGTACCGGCTTCGGCACCATCGAACGCAATTGCGTTTCACGCAAGCGAGACTCCTCTTGAGGCGACGACAAGTCAATCCCCCTGGTGGGAGTCATTTACCCTCCCTTCGAAAGAAGCGTGCGCTCGGGAGATGGAGCGCTCTGTCCAATGCCCCGAGACTGCGCCCGACCGGGGAGGAAGTCTGAAGAGGAAGAGGTCACATAGTCCGACGATACATTCAAGTCCATCGACGCCGGTGAAAGCCGCTTTGGCGACGGTCTCTTTTGGTGCCGTCGATGCAAACACCCAGCGGTTGTACGTAGCCGGGCGGTTGGGAGGAATGGACGAAGTGGAGCGGAATTTGCTATATCGCGTGGTAAGTGTTTTGAGTGGACTTGACTCGATTTTTGCGCGTCTGATTCGATTTTTTTCTTTCTTTTTTTTTTTTTTCCTTTAGGGTTACGAACGACGCTGCGAGCGTCTCGGAGAACGATTGGCACAGCGAGAGACAGCCACGCGCCCTCGTAAAAAGCCAAAAAAGGCAAAACGAGCAGACGCGACCGGTGCAGCGCTGGTCGTTCGGCAGAAGAAGGACTGCGATCGAAAACAACACCCCACGAGCAAGGCAGTACGCCCAAAGAACGTCCGAAATACCTGTAAACCGTCGCCTTCGAGATTTCTTACACGTAGCAGGGGAGACGGCGTTTCCTTCAGCTCTTGTTAGTTTGACTCTCCGAAACAGGGGTTCAGAGGGTGATTGGTGGTGGGGATGATGGCTGCCACGGTGTCTTCGATGCTCTCGTGCGATACCCAGTCACTTCAGTCCGTGGATAATAGGCTACCCCCATATAACTTGAATCAAAGGGACACGAAGTGTGTAAATTGTGATATTTCTTATTTTATTGTAGTTGTATAGAATCCTAGGACGTGACGAAGGCATTCCTTCCTTCATTCTGACTCTAAATTCGCGTGTCAACTCGGTGGAAAGTTATCATTTGATTGATCATGATCTCTAAAACATGGTGTTGTAGATAAAAGCATACTCAGGGTCTGCGAATAAGATTCGAAGGTCATGAGTGGTCGTAGCTAATGTGATGGCATAACGACAAGCAGAAATTGAGCTAAGAGATAACTCGAGGGAAAAACAATGAAAAAAGAAAAGTGTACGTCATGAGATGCTAGAGAATTCGGATACTGAAGACAGAGATTGAATATTGAATATTGATGATCAAGCTCAATCACAAGCGTCCAAGCGTTTCCTACATAAGGGACAAGTCCTATTCCGGGCCAGCCAGTTCTTCAAACAATTTTCGTGGAACCTAAGAAAGAGAAAAAAGATAAAATCTAAGAGTTGCAGAATTGGGTTCCGCAGCAAAGCTGGGAGCACATACGCATGCTGACATTCAAACCCCAATATTCCCCTCTGGCTTTCTCTGAACTGCGATAAACAGATAGTGCACCCATTGACAGGCACTCCAAGTAACGAGAGTTTCAACTTTATACGGCCGTCCTTTGTAACTCGGCGTCGCACCAATTCCACATTTCCGACAAGGCAAGATGAAAGGACGGTGTCGATAGATACATGTTCATGGCTGTGATGGGGACTGGCGGGGCCGATAAAGTCTGCTATGCGTAGAAGAGCCTAGGTGTGACGTTGCTTTAAAGCAGCATGATTTCGCAGTGCCTGTGATCGAAAGACTCACTTCGTAGTCGGAACCGTCGTGATGCTGATCCCCTATGTGGGATAAAGCTGCGTCGAGATCTGTGTACTCGTGTCCTGCGGTCAAGGGGGCGCCTTGGACTCGAAAAGACTCTGAGGATACATTGGATGAAGGGAGAAAGTGGGTCTGCGCTATGGTTGGTGTGACAAGTTCGGTCACACTTGTGCCACCGTCGCTTCCGTCGTAAGCGCCTGCATGGTCGAGTAGAGATACGAAAGTGCTGCCAGTAGCATGTGTCTGCTCTTCCTCCTCATCACTCAAGTCGATGAGGAGTCCTTCAGGGATTGGTTTATGACGGGTTACAGCACTCTGGTGAGCATTGGTGGAGTCAAAGGCGTCGTCATCGACGACAGACGAGGACGAGAGAGAGAACGGCGGGGTGAGTGATTGGGGAGGTTGTGGAAGGGGTCTCCAGGGGTAATGACCTCCTCGGGTGGGGGTTGGGGACAGCGGTGGGGTATACGGTGGGGCAGAGTCAGAGGGAATTTCGATACTGTAAGTATTTGTGCCGTGACCGAGAACAGTCCTCGAAGGAGGCATTTCTGCAGAGTTGTGGCGTGAATTAGCAGGGTCGCGGGGGACAGGATGGAGGGGGCTTGGAGCGAGGCCAGCATGTCCCACAAGGGGAACAAGAGGGATAACTGGGGTGACGGTATCATAATCAATATGTGTTACGGCTGATGAATGGGTGGTGGAACGTGGGCCTTGCAGCGTTCTATTCGTACTTATGAGAGTGTCTTCTCTGATGCGCCTTGTGGCAGTGCGCGCTGGAGAATGTCTAGGGTGGTCTCTCTGTGGCGACGATCCCTCGCTGACAGGACTCTCGGTCAACGGGCCGTTGGTGAGGTTGGGCGAGGACAGGCTGGTGGGTGTCGATGGCAGCGACACGCAGGTCGGAGACGTCGGTGCACTCGACGGCGACATCCCGGGCCGTATCAGCGGAGAGGGTCGCCGGACATTCCGCGTCAGGAAGGGCGAGCTGGGCGGAGTTTGCCGCCCAGCTGCACGAGCATCTACTTCACTGGCATCTGCCACACCGTGCGTTGGTCTTGCTGACCTCCCCGTATACTGCAACTCTGCGCTGCCAACACGGGGCGACATCCCAGCACGCTGTGTCCCAAAGCCAACACGGCTCTCTTCTGCAGGCGTTTCGTAAGCACCCACGCCAACCTCCGAGGAACGCTCGCTATCCAGAATCTCCCAATCATCGAGTGGCTCACTCGGACCCTCAGCCTGACTCTCGTCCGTCTTCGCATTCGATTTCAGATGGAACAACTTCCGAGGAAGTCTGCTAACTTGTCCGTTTTTCGTTCCATTTCGCGGCGCAACCGGTGACGATGCAGAAGGCGTGTTCTTGAACAATGGATTTGGGGAACGAAGCAGTGATATCACCGACTGCGAGCCATGAGTGGGTTGCGACCGATCCTGGAAAAATCGAGACGGCGATAGCGACTTCATGGGCGACCTACGTCTAGGTGCAGGCGATGGTAACTCGGTCGGACTTTCCAACGTCCCCAATGCCCGTATTCTCTGGTCCATCACTATTTGCAGGGACAACCGAGAGCCTACTTTCGGAGTATTCTTCCAACGTTCAGAGAGTTGGAGTGTCCCAATACGTGGTGACTCGGATGCGTGGGCGTCAATGGCGACTCTACGACTCCTATTCGTCGTTTCTGCCGCTCAAACTCCCTCACTGCCCTTTCTTCAATACCTAGACCTTGTTGACGGTCTCCCTCCCACCCGCCCGATGGGTCTATATCAAGCAATTCCAGGCTGCCTATTTCAGAGTCGGTTTCTGGTTCGGTCTCGGATTGACTAACTGCACCATGTGGAGGAGGCGAGAGTAAAGGACGTGCAGCGTTGCTTGCAATTTGACCACTTAGCGATGGATCTGACCCTGAGCTTGCAGGCCACTGCGATGTTTGAAGAGGTACAACTATCCCCAAATTTGACGAGTTCTGGCTTATGCTAGGCGTGTTAGAACATGCAGAAGCAGCTTCATACGATGGTGGTGGATAATCTAAACAAGATCCATGAACTATATCAGCGAAACCGATCGCATAGGGGCCTAATTACACGGATTCGCGTCGATATGATAACAAGATTGTCGCCTACCTGTATTCTCCCTCCCAGGACGTCCCCTTCTCTGCCCTCTCGTGGGTGTCTGCGCACGAATATTCTTGGGATAGCCCAGGTTAAAGTGTATTTCTTCTTCCACTCGCTCTTCCCTCGTTCTACTCTTCTCCGGTCTTCGCCTGCGCACTTGCCTGCCGAGTTCGGGAGAAACTGATCTCTCTGGCGTCTGGCGTCCGCTGTGGTTGCTTTCGCGGCTATGCATTGTTTGCGCTGCAATTGCAGTTCGTTTTCCAGAGGCCATCGCGGTATATGTGAGAGAGCAGTGGAGGGAGATGGCAGACAAGGGTAAAGACGGAGTCTCAATGCAAAGTCCACGCTTTTGCCTGCACTTTTCGTTTTTAGGGGTATTTGACTTTGTTTGTAATGTTATTAAAACGGTAATCAACATTCTGCGACTCCCGCTTTTGATGGAAGGGGGGCTGCATCGTGTCGCGCTAACCAACTATGCAAAGTCGTGATGAGTTCGCAACTGTGAAATGGTAGGCTGGAACATCACTGTGCTCCAGGTTACCACGGTGATGCGCACATGAGTTATCTAGCCAAGAGGTAGGCCATACAGATTATTGAATCCATGGCCCCCGGGGAAGTGCTGATGTTATTTCACCAATGTCAAATCTCATCTCACGCAGGATGTTCTAGCCTTTGCGACGATAGCGGCACTGTGAGGGCTATACACGTGTTCATGTAGAATGTTCGGGAATGTTGTTTTTCTTGATCCCAAAGCCATTTTGCTCTGGAATAGATTGATCCTGCTCTCTGTGCAAGCTGCTAAGATTGTAGTCAGAGACATGTTTACACTCGAAGACTTGGGGTGTCCAATAGTAGAGATCAATTCGGATCATGTGTCATGCGGGCTATAAGTTATCCCACAGGCATTCCAAAGCGTGTTTACAACGTGTATCTCCAGCGCTTCAGCACGATGAGCACAAGGCTCGATAGCACTATTTTATGGCAGCAATGAGTGGTTCGCAACACTATACCTTCCTAAACAGGATATCTTAGTAATTAACGCGAAGCACGTGATTGCAAAGTGGCGCGTCGCTTGTCGAACTGCAGCTTTGTCCCAAGTTGCTAGTGCCAACCAGCAACGACCACATACGATATAATGCCAACGCGTACGGCACCCATTCTCGAGCAACTGACGAACGGTGTTCCAAAAATATTTGACCAAGCTCAGAACTCTACCGCTAATCACCAGAAAAATCTGGTCTCTCTTCACAAACTCCACTGCGAGGCTGCCAATGTCACAGAAGAATACCATAATGGTGATAGCCTCAAATTGATAGGAGAGCGTAACTTTGAAGATGTGTTTATTGGTATGGTGGGCCGGGTACTTCCTGTGAAGAAGGGGACCAGCCAGGCGGATCGTATTATCAAATTCGTGGGGTCGTATACAAAATTCATCAACGACAAAAGTGGGTTGGCGTCATGTTTACGAGTGTGGCTTTTAAAGCTTGATTATACTGTCATCAGCTGCAGAAATTAAGAAAGAGGAAGACGGGGATGACGAAGACACAACTGCCTCGCGCTTCGTAGCGAGGCTTTTAAGATTCCTTCTTCAGGGTTTTTCCGCAAAAGACAAAATAATCAGGTACCGTTCCGTGCACCTCCTTGCGGAGATGGTATCCCACCTCGGCGAAATTGAGTTCGTCGCAAGTTTCGTTAACCTTTTGCTGCGCACTTATCACTTCCTGCATGCAGCGAAGACGTGTATGCAAAATTACGGACTGCTCTTTTGGAGCGTATCCATGACAGAGAAACACCTATCCGCGTTCAGGCTGTTACCGCATTATCTAAACTATGTGGCTCTGAAGATCCATCCGAGGTTGAAGATGGGGAGCAAACAGCCGTTGAAGTTCTTCTCGACATCTTGGCTCACGATCCTGCTGCGTGCGTATTTTTTGCATGTGTTTTTATCTGCCCATTCTTCTTTATCGTTCTTGTTGTACAGTGAAGTCCGGAGAGCGACATTGTTGAATCTTCCCCTGACACCTGTCACGCTTGACTCGATATTTGGTCGGACTCGGGATACAGATACGACTATGCGGAAGCTTGTATATTCGGCCGTACTAGAAGCCCACTGTCTGACTAAGGACGGTACAATGGGCACGGTCCATCCTCGCGTCCTTACAATAGCACAACGAGAACTTGTCATCCGCAACGGGCTCGGTGATCGTGAACCTGAAGTGAGGGCTTCCACGGGGTCTCTACTGGGGGCCTGGGTTGATGTGGCGAGAGGCGAAGCTAAGAAAGAGGAAAAAGGGAAGGCAATAGAGGATGACCTGTTGGCTCTGTTGAATCTGTTTGATCTCATGGAAAGCACTGTTGCTGAGGATGCCTTGTTAAGTGTCTTCGCGACGCGCGCCGACATCTTCGACAACCTGGAATTTAAAGGTAGGCCCATGATTGAAAGCATTGAACAACCAGTTAAAATTTGTTACAGACGCTTTTTGGACTAATTTGAACCCTGAACGCGCATTTCTTGCACGTGTATTCGTTGAACACTGTATCAACACAAAGGATGACAACAGACTTGAAGCGGCACTTCCCGTCGTCACCGCACTAGCTTTCAGGATCCAATCAGATTATAACGACCTGCTCAAAGGTCTTCAAGCTGAAGAGGAAGACAGACTGTTACGAGGTGATGCAGTAGATGACGACGAAGATAGAGCCAAGAGGGAAGATGAGCGAGTGGACAGGGAGTTCGTGATAGGAGAGATGCTTAGGCTTGCGGTGAATCTCGACTATGCCGATGAAATCGGGCGACGAAAGATGTTTCAACTTGTCCGTGAGTGCCAGTAACTATGCGCTGCAGATGTTTGCAAACCTTATCGTTGTTCTAGGGGACATGATTTCGCAAGATGCGCTACCAGAATCACTGTTGGCCCTTTGTTTAGACGTTCTTCGCACATTATCTCCGAATGAACGTGACCTGATTAGGGTAGTGGTCGAAGTAGTCCATGAACTTCGAGATCCCAGTGATGCTGATGATATAGTAGTAAGTCGTACTCTACTCTGGTCTGGCTTTTCGTGGTCACTCACTGTGAGTATAGAAGGATCCCGCAGACGATGGAGAGACTAATTTTGGTGGAACTCCGATGACCGTAAAAGCGACCCCAGCAGCTCACAAGACGAGAACTGAAATGTCGACTGAAGAACAAGCGAGATCAGACGCCATCGATTTGCGGTGTCTGTCGTTGTGTATAGGTATGCTGGAACGTGTGAATGGCGTGAGTGTCTCATTCGTGATGTACATCTGTGTTCAATGTTCACCGACGTTTCGATCATCAGACATTCGAAGAAAACTCGACTCTGGAAGGAATTCTCGGGGAATTAATCCTTCCTGCTGTCAAAAGCAAGGAATTGCTGTTGCGCGAGAAAGGACTTGTCAGTTTAGGCTTGTGCTGTCTGATCGCCCGCGTGAGTTGCATAGGCAGAAGAGTGAAATAAAGTTTGATAATGCTGATCACATACTAAACAGCGCATGGCCCTTAGCTCATTCCAGCTTTTCTTCAATCAACTTCTCCAACCTATTCCTGAAGTACTCAAAATCAGGGTGATTCAGATCGTGGTCGACATCCTGATGGTACATGACACCGATTTTCTCCGTAAGGGTACCGTCGGGGTAAGTATATGTTTTCCTTCGAGAATCACCGCTCCTAACGTCAGCCATGCTCAGGGCGAAAAAATTGTGGAGACTCTCCTGCATTTGCTGACGGAAGAAGAATCTGACAAAGTACAAGCTTTGCTTTGCATCGGTATCTCAAAGCTTGTTTTGGCTGGAATGATCTCTAACGAAGATGTGGGTACAAATTTGACTTCTGGTTATATGTATTTTCCATGGAATCAATAACTGACATTGCATTGAGTGTAGGTTCTCAAAAATCTAATGCTGATATATTTATCACCCGACACGGCCGACAATCAAGAATTAAGGCAATGCTTGTCGTATTTCTTCCCAGTATATTCCTTCTCCTCGTCTATCAACCAACGACGAATGAAAGAGGCAAGCGCTCATGTTCCCGTTCCGAAGCTGACGATTACTTATGTTCTTTTTATCAAGATATTCATTCCAATGTTCGTGCAGCTGGCAAATGCTTCAAGAGATTTAGAGGATGATCAGGAGATGGTCAACCCAAGCCAAGTTGGGGGAATGTTTGTGGATTGGACAGATCCTCAGAAGGCTATGTGAGTTACTATTCGAAGGTCTCGCTTGAAACAAGGTCAAGGTTATTCATCTGCTTTTCTCAGTGAGATACCAGGCCAAGTAGTGGACGAGATGATCCATTTTGATATGGCTAGCGATATTGTGAAGGCATTATTCAGAGATGACGTGCCAAGTACGTCATTCCCGCTAGTCTTTACTCGAGTTTCTCTAACGATGAGATGTCAGAGGAGGACAAGAAGGTCATGTGTCAACTGCTGGGAAGATTGTACATCCCTGATACCGTGGATGACGACAAGATCCGTACACTCAAGCTTCTCTTATCCAGTTTGAGCTCGGTGCGCTATACACGTTTCGCTCCCCTTTCCATGCTTATCGATGATATACATGTAGCGTCGGCCACTCCGCGACACGGTCGCCAAGAACGCTTTCATGAAATTCGATAATGCAATCTCAAAGAAATTCGCCAAACAGCTCGAAGACTTTAACGAAGCAGAGTATCGACAGTTGGAGAACCTGAAAGAATTATTCGAATTCTTGGACGATATCGTACCTATTGAAGATGGTGAAGAAATCGAACTACCCAAAGGTCGGGCAAGAAAGAGGTTCGTAGATGAGACTCACCGAACATGCTTAGAGCTGATTTTTTTTCTTGGGGAGTAGAAGGTCGGAAAGTGTCACAAGTGATTCGTCAACAAGCAGTACCCCTGAAGTTGTCAGCCCCACGGTTTCGGCAGCTTCATCGCAACGTGTGAAAGGCAAAGGCAAAGGAAACAAGTGAGTGATCTCACAGCTCCTAAGGGAGTATTATTTATATATAATCATAACTTGCAGGAAAAGGCGTCTAACTGCCGATGGCGATGTATCCGATGGCGAAAGTAGCCGAGTAACTCGCACCCCTCCTCCCCCCACTAGAATCCTCCCAAAACGAGCGGCGTGAGTTATTTTGACTTGTCTTATTGTATGGTGCCGTGACCTCCTTTATAGTGCTTCCAAGAAGCCGATTGTTGTAATCACCATAAGTGATGATGATGATGAGGATGAAATAGAGGAGTTGAGAAGCCCTGCGCCTGTTCCCAAAAAAACTAGCACAAACAAGAGGTCAGACAACATATCGTAATGTTATAATCGGTCCTAATGCTAATGATTATATTAATAGCGGAAAGGCAAAAGCTGCAGAAGTGGCCAAGGTTGATGCAGATATCGATCGCTTGATTGACGAAGGACCGTCCTTCGACTCTATCATGGATGATGATGACTCGGAAGATGAAGTAGATGATATACTTGCACCGGAAGACTAAGTGATATCAAGCCAATTCACCTGCACTACATCGCTTTATTTACTATGTACACGTTTTATCATGTCACACCTGTATTTTCCTGATTCTATAATCTTTGTTTTTATTATTACAATACAGTCTATTTGGGTTTGTAGCTTAGTTCCGAACATATATGCTACATTTTTATATGATTATGTAGTGCCAGTATGTAGTCACTTCTGCTTGCAAAAGTCTTTGTAGCCCTGAATCGATCGGGTTGCAGTCATTAATACTAACCAGATGAATGTAGTACCGGAGTGGAGTACCTGTAAGATACTTCGCATCCACGTACTAAGGGACTTCAACCAGTCACTAAAAAACCTGCCGCTAAGTGTCACATGCATGGATTCCGATGTACAGAGTGATACAAGTCTGAGATGGTATAGAATTCAAGACGAAAACACAAAAACAAATATCAAAAAAATATCATAAATCAGTAACCAAAGCGCTGAAACTTCTTGCCTTCCTCGATGTCCTTAGTCAGTATGTCCTTCCAATTAGGGAGTAGCTGCACCGAGCTCAGGCTTGAACGTTTCAATGAACCGCACGGGATCATCTGGACCCCCAAAGGTGGGCATTCCACGCCGATCGCAGCTATAGTGCCACGACCCATCTTCTCGCTGTCCCCTCTCATGTTCTGTAAATCCCTAAGACTCTCTTGCCAAGGATCTGGGAAAGTCTTTGCGTCCTCGATGGATTCCACTTTGGCTTCCAGAATGCGGAAGTACTTGGCTGGTGAGCCTTTGTGATCGGTGCGAAGTTGAACAAAGAGGCGCAAGACGTGTGTCGCTGTGCGCGTGATATCTCTGGGTAGCGTTAGAGCGTGGAATGAGTTCAAGGCAGCCGCGTGAGCACTGTTTTTCCCGCATATTTCCTTGTGTTTCTGTACAAGAATGTCACGAGGGGGAAACGCGATGTACAAAGATATTGATACTCACAGCCCAGTCTGCCGTCTGACACTCCTTGGAACAATATCTATGAAGCGCGAGGTGCAAGCTTACTAGTAGCTCAGCAGCTCAGGCTTCCAATGAAGGAAAATAATAGCAAACGTACTTGGCGGCTTTACATCTGCTGCATGCGGAAAGCCGCTTTTCTGTCCCGTTGACATAACAATGATTGCACTTTGCAAGTTCTTTTCTGAGCGATGAAGGTCGAAACTCGTTATCAGCCATCGCTCAGGCCTAGTATTAGGAACTTGAAGAAGAAGTTACAGTAAAGGTTGTTTGAAACGTCAAAAAGTGAACTAGTGAACCCTTAGCCGAGCTGGGACCATCATGGTGAAAACGAAGGTCATCGTTTCGGTGTGGCTGATCCTGCTTCAACCAAGTTGTACTAGTTCACTCTTCATGCAAGCTTCGTACTTATATCGCCTCCAGGTGGGCCACTAAAAGCATCCACAACGTAAGCTATCTTGTAGCTTCCCCTGAGCGTACTGTTCACCTAGGTAAGCGTCCCATAGCATCAATTCAAGTTTCACTTTCTCTCTGGCGCCTATCATGATCATGATTTTACATCAACCCCTTTTGGGCGCTCAGGTCTCAGAGTCAGAGTCTAGGAGCGTTCCTACTAGTACCATCATCCAGAAGGACAAATCACATCAATTCGACTCGGACTATCCACCTGACATTCCCCTGAGTCAAGGTTTCATCTCAACTCCAAACTGTCAGCTACATCCTAGTGGTAGCAACCGTCGCCCTATACCACAGATCCCAATCCTATGATAACATGCAATAACCCCGCGGTTGGTCGTACTTCTGATTCAAGCTGCGATTTTGGTTCCACCAACGTGCCTCGATGCTATCAATAGGAACAGACACTTCGTGTTTTCTATCATTAATTACCGAGCAGACTGGTTCTCTGCACTGCCAAGAACATTCCAGATGACTTGCTACACTGCGATCAAAGGCTCGTGGGCTTGGTATTGCGACATTCCAAGTTCTAACGCACCATTTCCGAAATCTTGCGAGCGGGTCTCCTCGGGGCTAGCTACCTTGACAGTCGATACTCTAAAGGTTATTGGTCCAGATAGTCCGTAACTGCGCAAGCTTCTTTGAATTCTTTTTCGAACCACTTCTCCACTAAGCACCAGCTGATGAATGGTCTGGCACGTTGGTAGGTGGCTTCTCTCCCTCGTGTGGCCTGTCAAGGCAAGCAAACATGAAACGCACCGTGCCTATGGTAGTTATACTTGCTATCACGAGAATCACCTAGAACCTAGAAGCCCTCTTGAAGAATCTCGGTGGTCTTCGTTACCGGACCGAAGGCTGTCACTCGAAAGACTGTCGATCCTGGTCCTTCGATGGTGTCACCATACCATAGTTTGACTGGCTTGTTCCAACCCATCTGTCGCAATCAAGCTACAACCCTACCGTGGCGCACTCGCAATATTTTCAGGAGCGTTTTACCGTCGGTCCCCACGAAACTAAAATGTCGCCATGCGATTTGGACTCGATAATTCTCCGCTCTGCGCACGGCGCACCATTGTTCCACTAATAAAAGGTCAGAGAGTAATCTGTCGGAGGTCCGTCAAGATGTGGGGAGAAGAAAACGACGCAGTGGATCTTATATGTCTGGCTCCCGTTTCCCTGGGTTGCTCTCAGCCCAACATTCGTCGCACGATTGTGGATTCATACGTCAGCTTTTGCGGAAAATGCAAGCTACCGTCAATCAGCGAGGCAAGACCGGTCGCCAAGGGACTACGGCCTCTGTTCTGCAGCTTGTTGTCTGTGTAGCAGTGAGAAGAGAGCACGTTTTCCGCTCTAAATATAAAGAAAGGATCATGGTCCTGGCCTCTTGGGTAGGTGTTTTGTGGTGGGTGGCTGTGTAATGTGAATGTTCGCGTTAATATCGCTCCGTCCGTTTTTAGGATATGTGGAGAACTTTCCCCCATGACCAGGTTCGCAGCTGTTCGCAACAGGTCTCATGGACTTCATCGGAAGGGTACTCGATGTGCTCCCGCTTGTCACCCGCAGAGGCGTTATATCTGTGCACTGCACTGCAAAATACGGTTGTTGGTGAATGTTGTGGAAGTGACTTCATCGCGATGAACCTGGAACAAATATTGACGGCAGCAAAGTGTATTGATCTTGGCTACAAGGAGGTTGCATTGCTACTTATAGCCTATTAGGAAGTCTCCGAAACTGTATAGCGCATGGTTTTCATCTATCAACAAGCTTGTCCAAACGTACAATCTGATGCGCTCCAAGTCAGGGCACAGCCAGCATGTCAAGTTTGTCAATACGTTCAAAGTTGGGGTAAACTTCTTACCGCCTTCGACTGTGCGAGCAGCACGGATATGATACGTGTCTACATTTTGTAACAGTATCGAAATTAGAGCAGGGCGTAGACTGTGTATGAAATCGAACCATGTTGCCTGCTGGGGAGTCCCCGCAAACGTACAGTCAGTGGTGCTTTACTGTTCTCCCGTTTATTTCGCAAAGTCCGCACGACCACCTACGATGTCCGTGCGGCTTTTAACATTGCCGATAAGCAAAGAAGCCGGCGGTTTATAAGGGTCGGCCGAGGTTTTCCGCCGGGAATGGTCGAGAGGTATCGTACCGGAAACATTACTGTGAATTTGTCTGTCTCACTGTGCCTTCAAGTTTGGGGGGTTTTGAGACAACCCTGTCAGAGATGAGCCGGCGATGGATAAAGATAGCAAATTTTCTGTTGTCGGGTTTTTTTTTTGTAGGGCGCAAAGTCATATACTTAGAGTTGCCGAGCTGCAGTGCCCAGAGCCAACAATTTGCAAGTAGTGGCGCAACTTGAATCTAATAGTGTCGTGTGCGCAAAAATATCGAGCCCACCAATAATATTAGGGCGGAGAGAATGTAAGAATAGACGAAAGTTCAACAGTGCAGTATATCGTATCATGATATCAGATATCGTGAGGGGATAAGTACCCATGGCGCTGACGTATGATGGGCCTGTTATTGACTAGGATGAGAAGATTGATTAAATACAAGATAGGACGAACGACAAGTCCAAATAACAACCAAACGGCGACAATGGGAATGTCTAAAAATTATATGAGTTCTGTATCAGCTGCAAGTGGCACGATGGGTGAAACTGTCCTGGTGAGCGAGGATGGCGGTCCATACGGCTCCCCGGGGGGGATTATGTATAGCAGAGCCCGTTTCGAGAAAATAAACGCCGAGGAGGGCCATTGGTGCCGATCCTGGTGGTTTGACAAGTGAAGGCGGTGGACAAGAAGACTACAACAAGACAAGGTTCGACGATCGACTTGCTTTTTTTTGCAAGTGCATTCAAAAGTTATATTTAGTGCGACTGGCAGTGGGTTTCGAGGACACAAAAGTTACCACGGGTCGACATTTGTTCCCTCGGCCGAGACAACCCAAGATCCAGCTTGGGCGTAGTGGAAAATAGATTATGGGAGTGCATGATTGTCAACGCAGCCGATGGCACGGATACTGGGGATTGGAATCGGCAAGCGAGGCTGAGGGGAGGTTGTTGCGACCATGCTTGTGTGGGTTTTCTGGACGACGTACCGCGAAAAGAGCGCGATGCCCCTCATGGCTACTCTCAACCGGCATCGTCGTTCGGTCCGAGCGGCATCGCATCTATATACCCTCAGTGATTGCTTTGGCTTTCCAATCATCCTTCGTACTTGTCGTCCGAAGCCATCCAGGCTTGCGCCGTTGAGTAAGACGCCCAGTTGGCGGCGCGGACGGTAGTCATCTATCACTACAATCATATGCGATCTCGACGCAAAATGCCATATTTTGAAAACAGGTCGGGATCCTCGGCAGGTCAAAGCTGGCGTGAGGATTCTGAATACATGACAGGTCACAAGTCTGGGTGGTGGTGGACATACTGTAGAGATCGCCTCCGGGAGGATCGTAAATACGCTCTCGACTGCGATATGCATGCGTCAGCTTCCGCAAAGTAGTATATTCTCCCTTCTTGCCTCGTGTACCGCAATCAGAATTCGACAGACTCTGACCTTCCTCAGAATACCTTCGTGAGTACATTTATAACTGCAAGGTGTAAAGCTGTAAAGATAGTAATATAAAATGTCAGTATGTAAGATACGCGCTGATGGATGGGCCATCCCGCGTGGAGTGTTCGGTAACGGTGGAGCGCGCTACTACGCTAAGCCTCGATAGCCAGAACTGTGTAAGAGCGCCTTGTCATTGCAGCGAGACACGGCTTATGAAAGAGCCTAAGAACTTCGAAGTAATAAATGTCAAGTTCACATCAAGTCATATGTTTTCTCCGCGCGACAGACGGACGACGGCGACGACAAGAGGTTTCAAGACTCTATAGAAATATATTCCAGAGGAGCCAAGGCAGACTAGAAGGCTGGGTTGCATCCCCCAAGCCCGTGTATTGCATAAGAAATGACCACAAGAGGTTCAGCAAAGTAGGAACGCTTGGCGAGTGGCTTCGTTGCGTTTACGACGAGTGTTTATCAAATATTTGATTAAAAGAAGTCAAGCCGCGATATCAAATATTTGGTTACTGGTTTACGAATATTTTAAGAACACGTTTGGTACCCCGAAAAAAAAAAGAAAGAGTGAAGAGACGGGGAATGGGCAAGACAGGAGGAGAAAGCGTGAATTGTGCGAGGCTGGGCTGTACGGTGATAAGGCGCCAAAAGATAGAGGAGGTGAAGGGAGAGTCGGGTAGACAAGGGACGAAACGGATCAAGAGGAATCTGGGTGGGGTTGCTGAGATTCCACTCTCTGTGATAAGCGGGCCTGAGAGCGGCTGACTTGTTTGGTCGTGTTGAATTCTTTGATCGTTAGAATTTTGGGCCCCAAAATATAAAGTCCGTTCGTCGACGAGACTGCCGTTCTCCCACTCCTTCATCCCAACATCCTCTTCGCTGTTGCATTCGTCGTGCTCAAGCCCTCGACAACTATAGATATCATCTGTAGGGCTTTCGCCTCGTCCCCCGCCTCTCCCCCCAGCACCTCGCCATAGAAAATCCATGTCTGAACCAAACGTGGAAAAGGAGCCCGGCCCTCAGGGCGACTCGCCTGTAGAGCAAAACCCACCAGAAAAGAGGAAAAGAGAGTACAAGGAATTCACTCACGATGAAGAGAAACCAACTCGTGAGTCTTTCGCTCCTCGGTCGCGTCCTGTTGCCTCATCTCATCGCGCTGTTTAGATGCCAATGTTGACATGTCTCTGGTCTGTCCTAAATTCTCGTAATTGCGCTGGAAATATAGCATATACTCACATTCTGCACGCGTTTAGATCGAGTTGAAGGCAGAGGACCTCTATGACAAGGAAAAGGTCGACCTAGAAACTATCGTTATCGAAGACGTCTTCAAACTCCTGCAATGTAATGATGGTGGATTAACGACTGATGAGGCTCAGCGCCGTGTTGAGCTTTTCGGTCCCAACAAGCTGGAGCAAGAAGAGCAAAACGCTTTCTTCCAAGTAAGTGTCTTTCTTAGCGGCTTGGTTTCACCTCTTACATCCGTTTCAGTTCTTGAGTTTCATGTGGAATCCTCTTTCCTGGGTCATGGAGGGTGCCGCTCTTGTGGCTATTGTCTTGTCCAACGGTGACCATCAACCTCCGGATTGGGAAGATTTCGTCGGTATTATCCTTCTCTTGTTCATTAACTCTACGATCGGTTTCTACGAAGAACGCAATGCTGGTAACGCTGTCAAAGCTCTGATGGATTCTCTTGCCCCCAAGGCGAAAGTCAAGCGTAACGGTTCATGGTCGGAAATCGAGTCTTCCGGTCTCGTCCCTGGAGACATGGTTTCTTTCAAGATTGGTGACATTGTCCCCGCTGACTGTCGTTTGACTGAGGCTATCAACGTCTCGATCGATCAGGCAGCTTTGACAGGTGAATCCCTGCCCCAAAGCAAGAAACTCGGTGATCAGTGTTTCTCGTAAGTTGTTACTCCATTAATTCTAGTGTGGATCAATATTGACGTCTGTTGATAGTGGCTCCACCTGTAAGCAGGGTGAAGCTGAGGGTGTTGTCATTTCGACTGGTGCCAACACTTTCTTCGGTCGTGCCGCTTCACTCGTCGGTCAGGATGATGACACCACTGGTCACTTGCAAAAGATTCTTGCTCAAATCGGTTCTTTCTGCTTGGTCTCCATCGGTATCTTCGTTGTCGCTGAAATCCTCGTGCTCTATGCTGGTTTCCGTTACAACTATCGTCGCGGTCTTAACAACATCCTTGTGCTTTTGATCGGTGGTATCCCCATTGCTATGCCCACTGTCTTGTCCGTTACTCTCGCTGTCGGTGCTCAGCAACTCGCCAAGCACAAAGCTATTGTCACTCGTATCACTGCTATCGAGGAATTGGCTGGTGTCACCATCTTGTGCTCTGACAAGACTGGTACTTTGACCACCAACAAACTTACCATCGACAAGGCTACTATCCGTACCTATGGTCCCTTCTCTGCTGATGATATCATGCTTTTGGCTGCCTACGCTTCTCGTACTGAGAACCAGGATGCCATTGACGCATCGATCGTGGGAGCTATTGGCGACACCAGCCGTGCTCGTGCGGGTATCAAACTCTTGGACTTCAAGCCTTTCAACCCTGTCGACAAACGTACTGAGATTACCTACCGTGAAGAGTCGTCTGGCAAGCTCAAGCGTGTTACCAAGGGTATGACCGGTATCATCATCGAACTTTGCACTCGCAACAAGACCGATGAACTTGAGAACAGACTCGAGGCTGATGTCGAGGAGTTCGCTAGCCGTGGTCTCCGTGCTCTTGCTGTCGCATACGAGGAGGTGGATGGCGATGACGCAGAAGGTGAGGGTAACGGCTTTGAACTCATCGGTCTTCTCGCCATCTTCGACCCTCCTCGTGAAGATACTAAGCAGACTATCGACGATGCGCTCGCTCTCGGTGTTAAGGTCAAGATGGTGACTGGTGATCAACTCGCTATTGCCAAGGAAACTGGTCGTCGTCTCGGTCTCGGTGATCACATGTACCCCGCTAAAGTGCTCAAGGATGGACCTGCACCTGGTGGCAAGCACATGACTCTTGATGACATGATTTTGGATGCAGATGGTTTCGCTGGTGTCTTCCCCGAGCACAAGTATGAGATTGTGAAACGTCTCCAAGGTCTTGGTCACTTGTGTGCTATGACTGGTGATGGTGCCAACGATGCTCCTGCCTTGTCTCGTGCTAACGTCGGCATTGCTGTTGAGGGTGCCACTGATGCCGCTCGTGGTGCTGCCGATATTGTGCTCACGGAGCCCGGTCTTTCCACCATCGTTCATGCTATCCGTGGATCTCGTGTCATCTTCCAACGTATGAGGAACTACTCCATCTATGCATGCGCTGTGACTATCCGTATCGTCGTGTGTTTCGCTATCCTGGCTTTCGCGTTCAAGTTCGACTTCCCTCCCTTCATGGTCCTGATCATTGCCCTACTCAACGACGGTACCATCATGACTTTGTCCGTTGATCGTGTCTTGCCCTCTATGACTCCTGATTCCTGGGATTTGGCTGAGATCTTCGCCTACGCTGTTGCCTACGGTATCTACTTGACTGCCTCTACGTAAGTGTCGATTCATCTGTGACTTGGAATAATTGCTGATAGTTTCGATACAGTGTCGCATTGGTGGCTATCATCATCAAGACTTCCTTCTTCTACGACAAGTTTGGTGTCACTTTCATGAACAACGCTGGTGGGCCTCAGATATTCCCCAACGGTAACAACGACTACCAGCTCCACATGATTGTCTACCTCCAAGTTGCTATCATCTCGCAGGCGTTGATTTTCGTTACTCGTTCGCACGGATTCTTCTTCATGGAGCGTCCTTCGTTCGCCTTGATGGGAGCTTTCTGCATCGCTCAATTGGTGTCCTCTATCATCGCTGCTTATGCTAACTGGGGCTTCACTCAAATCCATGCCATCTCTGGTGGTTGGATCGGTATTGTCTGGGTCTGGGTAAGGCTTATTCTATTGGTTAGCTTTTCAACGAGACTAATGTACAATTTCTAGAACATCATTTGGTTCGCTCCTCTCGATTGGATCAAGTTCGCCATGAAAGCTACTGTTATCAAATACCTCCGTGAACGTCATGCCAAGGCTACCCAGGCCGCCGTTGCTGCCAGCCAGGAGTCCGGTGGCGTCCCTATCACCCGTACCCAATCCCGTGCTGCATCTATCCATGAGTCGATGTACCAGAACCGTGTATCCTTCATCAAGCGTGCTGCACGTAAAGTCGGCTTTGGTAGCAAAATTTCTATGAAGCCCGAGGAGTTGCAGAGGTTTAGCAGTATCCAGGCTCAGCGTACGGGCGCAACCCTTGCCCGCAACCCAAGTCGTACTGCTGCATAGACGAATGGAACCTCTCCCTCGCATTCGCCTCCGCCCTGTTTTATACATACAACGATATCCATGTAAATCTAGAGATAAGAGCTCCCCCGCCTGCACTTGTCTGGTGTCATCCCTCTCCTTCATATCGCAATTTACATTGTTCATATATACGCAATTTTGTTTGGCATCGGATACCTGTCGTCGGTCGGCCCTTTCTCTTCTTTTTATGCGGCTTGGCGCATCGCGGTCTCGGTTCACGTTCCTTCTCTTCTTTCTTCATCCCTAATGTTAACATCTACGTTGTCTCATTTTGATGCGACGTTACGTCCTCCGTCTCATGATGAGTGATACATAAGTAATATTATACAAGTAATTGTTTTACAACGAAAAATATGACGAATTTCATAGATTTTACATAAACTTAAAATTGGAGAGCATGAGAGATTTTGACAAGTGTTCTGAAGTCAGCGCGTATGATGTCTTCCAAAATTGCGGAGATGTTACAAGATGCTGTTTGACCCTTCAGTTGGCCATGTGTCTTGAGAATACGTCTGTAAATTATAAATTACTACGGCCCCATAATATTTCCACGTAAGCTCTAAATCCTGGATCTACAAGCAGTGAATCATTTTAGCCAACCAATTCTCTATTTATCTATGTTACAGTTCGTCTCTCGGACGTGCTTCTTCACTGTTGTCTCCCACAGACTCCGCAGCCTGAGGTGTCGCACCAACATTGGCGAGGACATTGGTGTCTGCGGTAGCAGCGCTCGCCCTGATCTTGCCCTCTTCCGCAAGCTTTCGAGCAAACCGAGCAATCTCAGCATCGTACTCTTCCCATTCGGGTATCTGGCGTGCTCGAGCCAACTTTGGCTCTTTCTATTGAACGGTTAGTGTTAGTATGTATCGCAGGAGTGAATATCGTAGCTGGCGGCTTACTGTGAGGGGGTTTTGACACAAGTCGATCGTCTTTGCGCGATGGAGACGGTCTTTGCTACCTGTGAGCGGAGAAAATGTCAGACGCCAGTTAAAATTGAGCACATATTTCTGAAACTTACACCATGTTTCACACTGTCGAGTGATGGAGTCTTTCAGTCACAACCTTACACATCTAATCACATTTTTACTTACCCAGAGCCAATCTTCGTGGAGCGAGAACTAAACGAATTGCCTGTTAGCATATCAGTACCAACGAGTGTCGCAGAATACACTTACTATCGGAACTTGCTGCTGTATGTTATTGGGTAGATCTGAAATTGCATCGGTCACCGCCCTACTATACAACAAATAATCCGACATACCTTGATCAAGATTGGCAAGCGAGTTGGGATCGGCGGAAAGCGCTTGGTATTGTCCACGGAGAATGTCCTGCCAACCATTCGTGTTAGCAAACAATCAAGGATGTTTCGTGGCACAAACTAGCTCTTACCCCAGCTGCAATCTGCGAAAGTTGGTCAGTCAGAGATTTGATATTTACAATGGTGTGATCTACTTACTTGACGGAACCGCACGAGATCGACAACATAGAGGGCACTAAAGAAGTTCTTAAGTTATGTGACTAGCGGTATTGGATCTAACACACCTGATATGATATGGGCGTCCACGTAGGAAATCAGCCCAATATCCCGTCTTCCAGAAGCGGAAGCCTTCCATGTCGTAGTTGTCATCTCCCATCGGCGTGTAACCGTATGGCGCTCCGTGCAAGTCAAGGTCAACGAGCTCTTGCAGATCTGCTCGGACGATCTGATCGGCATCCACGAAGATGACTTTTTTGAGGTCCATAGGGAAAAGAACGTCTAAGAAGAGGATTTTGTATGCCCAGATAATCCGCTGTTTTTCTTTCTGAGCTCGCAGCCAGGAGGGCCACTTGTAGGTGACTAGTTCATACTGGAAGTTGTAAGCTTCGGCCAAGTGAGGAATGAATTCCTGCGTAAACAGTGTTAGTGGCACGCTTATTCCTCGTTTCGCAAGCTACTTACCAGGAACGATGGAGACAAGAAGTTCTCGATAAACCAGAATTTGACAGTCTTGTTCGTATTCCGCAAGACACTGAGGATCATGATGGACACGAAACGCTGAACAAAATATATCAGCATATTTGTCACCCGACGTAAAAATGTGAAAGTCTGTACCTCGTACAGCAATCCAGAAGCGACAGTGAAGATGTTGATATCAGCTTGTCCATCGCCTTGCGCCTGGAGACTCTTTTCGCCTTTGTGCGAGAACAAAGAAGTCATTCTATTGCGGGCACATAATGAGCGACAGCAGCTAACATCGCAAAGAAAAAACGAGCATACCTGGATACAATATCCTCAATAACCCCGTGGGTCTCTTCCTCCTTATAGCTTAGCTCATCCAATACATCGACCATCTCCATCCCAGGCTTTCTCACCAGCCTCGGGTACAGCGTAAGACCCTCAAAGCTCATCACAGTCACCTCACTCCCTACCTCCTCGACACGCGGACTCTCCCACCCCTCGTTCCCCACGCTCTCCATCTCAAACACATCTCTCCCTCTGCCCTCCCGGATCGAGAGCTCGTACACGCCAGGCTTGGCTTTGAACTGGAGATACCCGAGATTCGCAACGACCTGTGTGTCGTCTACGGGTGTGCCGTCGGGTGTGGAGAGCTGGAGTTGGAGTCCGCGGGGAGGCGAGTTGAGTAACGTCTCGCGTGCGTGGCCTTCAACGACGAGGTAGTCGAGTGCGAAGACGGCTTCGAGGCCCGTGACACGGTCCTGGGGCGACAAGCTGCCAAGTTGGATGTTGTCGAGGTCATACAACGCTTCGCGGGGTCGGACAAGCCATGACGAAGGAACGTCCATGCCGAGGGTATAGATCGGTTCGATAGGAAGCCCATTAAAAACGACTTTCGCTGGAACCTCTAGTCTGCACGACACACATGTTAACCTCACAGTTAATAAAACCGAGACAGTGTTTTCTTACCCGTTCTCGTCATACGTTAGTCTAGGCGCCAAGTTATACCGATAAAAGCGTTTGAGGGGTATCTATTTCCGAGATGAGTACGACCTCCAGACTTCTGAGGCGTCAACACACGCACCTCTGAATGCTGAGATGGGTTCAGGTACAACTCGAGGTACACACCCGGGAACTCCACGAGCCACTATATTCCCCAAAGAAAGCCCATCAGACCCGTGCCCTCACGAAACATCGTCTGGCGAAAGACCTCACCTCAAGCAAGCTAGTCCACTTCTGCGCAGTTTCACTCAAAGGATCAACGACAGCTGCAACATGATACAGCGCATCATCCGCATTCCCAATCTCAAACGACCTACGAACGATAAATCAGCCACGACGTCGTCACCTAACGCCCAAAAAAAGTCCACGATGAACGGTACATACGTATAATTCCCATCCAACAGCTTATACTTCCGCGAACGTGGTTTTGGAGCTGTGTCGAACAAGCCGGCCTCGCTGGGATCGGGTAGCTGAATGGCGGAGATGAGAGACGAACTCGTAGACACGAGGTGTGCATAGGAGGATCTACAGCCAGAATAATTCAATTGTCAGTGATAATACCACAACGCGAAAAAGAATTTCATACGAATCGAGATCGTCCGCCTTCTCGCCCAAAACATCTTCCAGCGCAACCACAACCGAACCTACTCGTTTCCGCATCTCATACGTCTCCAACATCTCAAAGTCTTCAACCATGAACTCGGAAGCGTCAAATGGCCCAACGAGCTACACCGAAGGGACTTCTCAGTTTCCACTCAAGATGAGGACTATGATAATGCTTCAAAAACGTACCCGACCGTTGACGAGAATTGCCTGTTCGCCGGGGAGAAGGCGGAGCTCCCTAGCCAGCGCCTTACAAGACCCAACGTATCCTGCGTACGCATCCTCAGCCACCACCACCTCACCCCCATCGACTCCATATTCACGTAGCAGGTCTGCTTTCAACGCCACCTGCGCAGACTCGTCTGGTGTGGAGACCGACCCCGCCTCATCGAGACCTAGAGCGCGTTTGAGACGGGCAGGGGATATCGTGGCCAGTACGTCCTTTGAGATGAGCTGTGACAAGAGCGACGACACTGAGTGCGAATGGGTGGACGGAGCTGGGTTGTGAACAAAAGTCACTCGAGAGCTCGGTCCTGATCCCTGCTCACATTCACGATTAACACCATTTTAAGTGTGCTACCAGGAAACCCAAAAGAAACGACGTACGATAAAATCGAGCGCTTCTTTCACGAGCGCAAGCCCAGACTCGGAGTCGAAATCAGCAATAACGTACATACTAATCGGCAAGTAATCGTCGTCCTCTATTAACAGAACGAAGTCAGCACAACCAAACCATTTTTACCCCGACATCATGTGCAAAGAAAACGGAAACTCACGAGGGGTCACAAACCCTCCTTTACCCACCACCTTCGGGAGTTCAGGCAAACTGAACATACGCAGAGGGCGTGCGCTGGAGCCAGCAGGTTGTACGCCACCGCTTGCAGGACTCGAAATCAAGGGGTAGATATGTGCGTTCCGCCTTGCAGGTGTCCAAGGCAGGTCGTAGAAGAATGTCGAAATGGTGGGGACATAGCTGTCTGTTAAAATACTTGTGTAGACCTGAATGAAGAATGTATAGATGGGAGGGGGAGGAGAGAGGTGAGTAGGTTTTCGTCAGCGTATGAAAGTGAGACAACTCACCAGTTCTTGGAGGTACTGTAGTTGCTGCGTTACTTCCACTTGTAAATCCCGCAGAAACGCCTATGATTAACCCACACAAAAATCTACCAGTCAGCTACTCATCATAAAACTCTTTGCCCCGCCATTGTAGGCCACAACACAAGAGGGCAGAAGAGAAAAGAAAGAAAGGCACACTCACGTCACTCATACCAATATACCTCCCATTCACGAACGCATGGCCCGACGCATCCGTGATACCAACCCTGCGCGCATACAGCCGAGCTTTATGAAGCGTGTCCACATTCCCCCCGTCCTTCTCAGCTTCGTCGCCAACCGAAGCGACAACGCGTCCCTCAACGACACTATCAAAGTCGTCCGGCATCCCAAAGTCGGCCCAGGCCATGCGTACGAGGGGCCAGGAGAGGGTGGGCGTTTGGACGTGGGCTGCTGATACCTAAGTGGAAGGATTAGGTTAGAGCGGTTAGAGATGGAAACTTGAGAATAAGATGGGACATGACGCACCCGCTTCAAAAATCCAATGATGACATCCCGTCCATACTTCTCCGACACAAAATAAAACAGCCTCGCCATTTTCGTACCTACGAAGTTCACAACAATCAGAATCACAACGACGAATCCACGTCTTATAAGTATCAACTCACCATCCACACCTTCCCCCTCCTTCCACTCAACAAACGGCACAATCCCCCACCTCACCGCCCACCCCCTCGCCACGATCCCTTCCAAAGACATTGCGAGGAAGGAAAGAGTGCGGGGTTGGGCGAGGTCGAGTACGAGAATGGCGTTGAAGAGGTTGAAGCGCGTCATGGGGAGTTGGCCTGGGTAGAGGGGGCGGAGGAGCTGTGTGGAGGGCATGGTTAGTATAAAATGGGAACAAGGAGGGAAAGACACGTACGACACTGAGAGAGCTGCTATACCGCGCATACCTACGTCAAACCCACAACAACAGAATTTTTAATCAGTACGCCGCACAAAAAAAAACCAGCTCTCTCTCTCTATGTATACAAGAAAAATCCTCACCTCGCATCCGCCCCCAAATCATTCCACCACACCACAACCCCCCCTCCCTCCGTCCTATCACTAGCATCCACAAGTCCCTCCGTCGCCTCAGTAGGCACGAGCGCATCAGGAAACTTGGGGCGGTGGACGCCACCGTCCTTGTTCGACTTTTTCGAGGTGGACTTGGCGACGTCATCGTGGGAGGAGTGAACGGGTGATGAGGCTTTTGAGGCATCTTCGGGTCGGGGGTCGAGTTTAGAGTGTTTGGCGTTCCATCTGCCGCTCCTCGACCCGCCTTTCTCCTCCTCCCTCTCCTCCTCTACCTCGCTCCCTTTTTTCACCCCCTTGCCTCTCCTGGTGATATCTTTATCCGCATAATCGCCATCAGCACCAGTTCGCGAATGTGCATCATGCACAACGACCTCGACGGCTTCTCTCGTAGACATGCCCAACTGCATCAGCGCGCGGACGAGCGATCGTTCTTTTCGAAGCGTGCGGATGAGGCTGTTTTGTTCGGTGAGCGAGGGGTTTCATGTTGAGAGGTGAAGCAAGATGAAGACGGAAGGAAAATGGGAGGGAAGGAAGAGCGAATAGAATATTTGATTAGCACCGCAAAAACAACTCAAAGGGAACAACTCACCCAAACACCCCAACCTCACCCTCTCCCAGCACCCTTCCATTCACCCAGAAGAGCGACGTTCCGGGGGCGACCTTTTCCCAATTGGAGCGGACGGAATCAAATAGGGGGGAGAGGACGCCGGTGGGTTGATGGCCAGCCCAAGCATCGTGTTCTTCGTTCTTCTCGGTGCCCTTGTCCGAGGGCAAGGAGTACGACGAATCGAGACCATCCAGGAGGTCTTTACGTGCGAGTTTGGTAGCGTAGAGTGGGAAGGAGTGGGTGAGCTGGCGGAGGAGGGTGAGGGGCGAGAGGGACGCGGTGACAGAGTTTTCGTGGCTCTTGTCGTCTTCGCGCTTTGAGGGCGAGGAGTATGAATATATGAGCTGTGTCGCTCTCAGCCCGAGGTCTGTGTAGGCGGGGTGAAGATGAACACGGATGAGTTGTGAGAGACGAGAGTAGAGAACGTACCAGCGATCTCGTCTTCCGATAAAGCAGCATCTTTGGTCCCGCCTTCAATATGCAGCTCTGTCGACGCATTGAGAGATGGTAAAGAGTCAAAGAGGGCAAGGAGGGCGTCTTGGTCCTGTTCCCGTGCGTGGGCAGTTGAGTCAGGGGAAGCTGGTGGATGGGAGAGGGAGTAGCACAGTCAGTAGAAAGTATAGAGTGAACAAATGCGACTGGGATACTCACCTTGCCCAGTACTAGCACTCCTCCCGCGATCGTCGAGCGCGAGGTAGTCCATCTTCTTGAGGTCGAGAGAAACGCCATACCCGCTGAGGCTGGCGCCCAAGGCATCCTTGTCGTGTGCTCGCGTGCTTTGTGGATCGGGCGAGACTGCCCAGCGTAGGACGTACTCGATGCCTGCGCTTTGGGTGAGGTCGACGAGTGCGTGGTGGAGAGCGGGGAAGTTGGGGGCTGTGAGGGAGGCGTAGAAGATGGCGGTTGGTTTTTGGGAGTGTGGAGAGGGGTAGACGTGATCGAATGGGAGAGAGCGAGGCTGTGGTTTATGCTCGAATGAGATGGACGATACGGCGCGTTTGAGACCGTCGACGGTGCAGACTACGTGGCCGTACCAGTCAACCCATGCAGCACAGGTCTCTCCACTTGCATCTTCGACAGCTTGTTCGTGCGTGCGCGCAAGGAAGTGCTGCTCGAATGCGGCGATGCGTGGGCTGGCGGCGTGCAGAACAAGAAGGGCGTCTACGGATGCGCGTGCTGGGCCATCGAGGAGCGGAGAAGCGAGGTCGAGGACGTGCGCGTGGACGGTCTTGGGCGATGCATTTGGGTCTGGTGGGTTCGTAGAAAGCAGGGAAAGGAGAGGAAAGAATGCAGAGGGGTCTTCAATAGATATCGTTTCACTATTTAAGATGTCAGCAAATGACAAAAGCTACGAAGGAGAACATACATGGTTTCGAGGAGCGGACCAGGAGAAAGCCATGGCGTACGGAGCTGGACTGAAACGGGGGGAGAGGCGTTGGCGAATGGGAAAAGAGCGAGTGCGAGTGCAAGGAAGTAGTGCATCTGCACGTGATGCTCTCGCTGCAATGTCTTCGTCGTCGTCACTCACAGCGAACTCGAATGAAACAAGGACGTAGTGCTCACGTGACGACACGTGACGCTTGCCACGTGGTCACCTCATGTACCTAGGCTTGATCCAAGCTTGACCCCACCACCAAACAACGCCATCCCATTCAATCTTTCGGGTTCGTATCGACGCTAATGTGCTTCTTATCGGCTCTGGCTGTCGTTATTCAATTGGCTCACACTTCTACCTCAACCTTTGAAGATCGCACCCCGCTTAGACCGTCCCATCGACGCTAGCACAACATCAAACGGCGTCAGAAGTGCAAATTTCCTGACAGTACTAGTGAACACGATGGAGGATCATTCTATAACTTTACCTCACGATGCTTGCAAGACGCTGTGTAAAAGGGCGAGGTATATGTGGTGGAGGTGTGATAACGACTTGCTGAAAAGTGAGCTGAAGGGGATGAAGGAAGGTCAGCTCACTATACCTCAACTCACATCTCTCATCTAGCACTCATACACACCTCCCGTGTCCGATACGCCATTCACACCCAAATCTTAATAACCCAACTCACACCCCTCTCAGACCAATGAAGTTCCTCCATTTCGCCTTCGCCCAAGCTGCCTTACTGCTCGCGATGTCTTCTCAAACTGTCGCGCAGCTGGGCTCAAGGGAATGCCACTGCGGCACTAGCGTGAATATGCCGCTGACTGAACAATGCTGTCGCAAATCGTCGGGGCAGATGCATGGTACCGAGTGCACAGCGCTCTCATTGTCCAATAATACGATTCCCCATTTCGTAGTTTGTTGTTTTCTCGAAGGCAGTGGCAACAAAGATGTCGTTCCCGCGACTTGTGATGAGGTCAAAGAAGGCGATAGTACTGACGTGGATGAAGGACTATGAGAGAGTGCTGGAGACTGGGAGTTGGTTAACAGTTAATTAGCGCATCACTTATCAATAGCGATAGAGAGATGCTGTCTATTCCGTCAGGCGTGTTCAATCATCTGTTGTCGTTAGTGGCTAGAGTCTTAAGTGTGCCGGAATCGCTGACTCGGAAGAGATGCCGGATCAGGCAAGTGTAGTTTTGGTAGAGATTTGGTACAGGGTCTTCCAGGAAGATAGTACGAATGCTAGCAGTCTCCCCACCACGGCCAAAGAAGACCAATTTCCATGTATGTTCAGATGAACGTCATGAGCTGCAAGCAAAGATGCAGCAAGGCAAGAGCCGGATAGCCTACACACACAGCGAAAAAACTGAGATAATGAACCATGAGAATGTCCCGAAAACTCGGTCATTTCCGGCACGTTCCAATCAGACCTTGCCCGGATGTTCGATTCTGGAGATCTACAGTGCAGCATTTGAGCCAGTCAGAATACTTGCACATTCCAGGCCCGACTCCCTTCCAATATTAATTCAATAAGCTACACTTTCTATCTGAGATACTTGTATAGATATTTATGTGAATAAATTATAATCATCATTCGGAAACTACATGCTTAATTCAAGAACCTAGGTTGGCACCATGGAATCAGGTTTCCAGGCATTGGAGCCAGCACCAAATATTGTAAATCTAAGAGACTCGATCATCAGTGAATATCTAAGCGGTTATCAGTATGCTCCTCCTCCTCCTCATCTGTGCCATTTTCATTGGGGTGAAATAAGATACTCACGAGGGATGAAGACTCTGATTTGAGGTATGTTCTATGGATGACAACGGTTCTCCATTACTACGACCATAGCATAACTCACCATACTTCCACCTAAAAAAGATCAGAGTTCGATAACCGGTGTTTCGAATAACATCCCACAGAAAGGTGAGAGTGTAGTGCCCAAACCGTGCTTATTGACAATATGTTTCATGATTTACTTGCCATAGTACCAAGACCATACCTTGTGTCTTTATGTATGATACTAGACTGAACTCTGAGCCATAATGCACGGTGTCTCTTCTACACTTATCCTGTGAAGGTCAGTCCCCTCGTACAATCAGGTGAAATAAAATTGATAGACACTTGCCGTTCATGACATAACTAAGCCCTGGAGTTACAGGCTAACACACTAATCTCTCTATAAATCTGTGGACACCAGTGAAAAGTTTAGATATTTCCTTTCAGCAGAGAAACAACATCTTCAACCGCTCCCCATGAGCTCTGATAACCAGCGGCCCTTAAGAGGACGAATCTTAGCATCAAAAAATCACGCGCAAACGAATAAATCATAGTTGCACTTACCCGAAGCCGTATGCATGCACAACTACCAATTCGTCCTTCGCTTCTGTTTGGGCATTACCCCCACTCTCAGCTCGCTTCCGCAAGCCATCACCCAAAGGTAACTTGACTCGTCCGACCTCCACCCTCGGGCCACCCTCTCTGGCAGGCCTCAGGCCGACATTATGTTTAAGAACTTCTGTCCCCTTGTCAAGTAGGCATGGTGCAAGCGATGCACATCGCATAAAGATACTCCGCGCCGTGTCCATGTTCAAAGATGTATCCCAGTTTCTGACTTGGAATGTACCTCCTATCAGTGCTGTGCCCTCCGCGTCGCCAGCACCTGGGCGGGGGATGATATAGGTCGCTTCCCCACCTTCGTCCGAGTATTCGTCTAGTGGTTTGATAAATGGTATCAGTGAGACCGATGACAGCCCCCTGATCAAAATTTAGGATGCTTACCTCCTTCCAATGCTAAAAACTCTTGTAGACTAGGACATCGTACTAGGATTGTTTGGCCGCGTATAGGGTACAGCGCCGTGTCCTCGATTCCAAGGATTGATCTAGACCCTTTCAGCACAGTCCAAAGAAATCGCGATCGTCAGCTTGCTTCATTGTGCATTTCATATACATTCTCACCTAGGGCAGTAGCGTTCACCAATATTCCATTTTCTTTAGCAAGATACGAAAGCTCGTCTAAGCTCCTTACTGTTTTGCGCACAAAGTTGACTCCATGGTTTACGAGATTGGCTGTGAGCCAGGGAAGATAGAAGACGGGGCTGACTGAGATGGTGCTGAATGATAAGCCGGATTTATAGCCTTCAGGGATTTCTGAAGGCTCCATAATGCGGAACTAATATCAACGATTAGATGATATGATGCCAAGAATACAAAATGCGTTGGTGGAGCTTACATTTCGTACCAGGTCTTTCCACCACACGTTAGAATAGTCTGTGGCATGATAGCCATACTTCCTTGAGGGTAATTCCTAGTTTTACAATGAAATTTGAATCATGAGACCTCAATATAGTACTCGATGGGCTTACCTTCACGAGTCCACTAGGTATCATATCCCAGAACTTATTGCTACAAGCCCAACGTGTCAGCTAAATGATCGTAGATAAGATGAGCTGTACGGTTCTCACAAAGTGGTTGTCTCCCATCTCTTTATCCGTTCGTCCTCGCCACCCATCGGCATCGGCGACCAATTGGCACCCTAGAATAAGGTGTCAACGCCAGTCAGAACCTTGAGCGAACCACCACGCACCGCCCAAGGACTCGACCAAGCCTGAGAATCCATATCCTCCGGTAGATCTCTTGCCACTACCGTTATCTTGAATAGAGACGAGAGTACTGGATCTGTAGATACACGATAAGCGGTGGTGAGGCCAATTACACCAGCACCGAGGACGATGAGGGGGCGTTGGGTTGTAGACATGGTCGTTGATAAGGTTGCTGTTCTAATGGAACAACACGATCTGAAAGATGCACATAGATAAGAACGGTATCCGTTGGAGTGTGGGATTGGTTCTGAGTCATTGTCAATGAGAAACTCGAGTCTGTGCCAGTCGCGCCTGTTATAGTCGGAGTACTCCGAGTGTAAACATGATGTCGACATGTCGACAGCCAATACCACTACAATCTTCTGGCCCATCGACGTCCACCAAGCAGGATTCATCTACGGATGGACGACTCCAGCATTATGTATCGCAGGCGTTATACAATCAGACCAGGTAGGTCTCTTTGGTCCAACGCTTGGATGTCATACTGAAAGCTGTCGCTACGATCTTTTGCTAGGAGTCCGAGGCCATGTCCAAGCTCGACTCGATTCAAGATACGACACGCTGGAAACCCTTGATAGAACGATGGGGTGGTAGGCCGTTCGTGCTTGGTCGGTGTTCGTTTGCAGAGAGGGTTGTTACACGACATTCATCACCCGGAACTCTTCCTCATCCCATCCTCGAAATACGCAGTGAATTTCCAAAGAGTCTAGTTCTGTATGTCCAAATCCTATAAATTAATATTCCCAAAAATAATTCTTAAATTTGATGTCCTAATGCTGTATATGTAGAACGAATCTGTCACAGCTTCAATTTATCTACTATCATCGCCACGACGCGACATCCATGCGTCTATACGCCTCGGAGTTCCCAAGATCGCTCTTTGCACTTCAAGGAAGGTCTTCCAGTACCGACTCCCACAAGGGACATTACACCAACGTCAAAGAAAATGCGGACACCACACAGGTGTCTTCCTCTAAGCTGTACACGTATTTTCTCCTCAATCAGGCGCGTTTATTTCCTCATCCCCTTTCACTGCTGGCAGATAATAATCAAAGAGTTTTTTCATAGTGGAACTCGGCCAAGTCACTGCAGCACTCGATGGACGATGTCCACTCTCGAAATCCTCACCGCCATCCCTCTTCAAAGTATAGCACCGCATGGACCAAGCGCCCCAGACGTTTCATCTCCACCGTCTCCAGTTATATTCGAGGCCGTCTCAATGTTATATCGAGTGCTTCACTTCCCTCATACAGGAATTTGAGTTTCACAGGTAAGGTTTACTCAACGTTCATCGGGTCATTCTCCTCCAATCCCACACTGCTTATACTGAGTCTCACAGCTCAACAGCTAGACGTTCGGGCCGGCACGATATCCTCTCTCTTTTCCCTCTCGCAAACCCTGCATGAACAAAGCAGTGCAGTCACACCGTCTTCGTCGTTCCTCTATATCAAGTATGTCCTTCTCGCTTCATGCATTTGTTTGGATAAAATAACTAAATACTTGTTGTCTAGATTTTATAACTCGGTGTGGGTGATCTTGAACGATATTACTGTTGGAATGGCGTTGGGTACATTCTTGTGCAAGAACCGCATGGTCTTGGCTGCTCACCTCACTCATGTCATGGAGGTGGGTTATCGTTCCCAGTCTTTCATCATCATGGCTATCATTGAACTCTTGTACGGTTTCAACCTTGCTGATGCATGTCTTAATAGACATGGTCCGTTCAGTGGCTACAACGAGTTCTCGTCTGGCTCGACAGCTGGCCAGCAGGTCTTAAACTGAATACCGAACTCGGTCGGTTCTATTCACACACGCTCATAGGACTCATAGCAGTATGGAACAGTACGTTCGCTTCATCCATTTCCCCTTCCACTATTATCCTCTTTCCTCAATGACGCTGACTCTGCATACCTCAGCCGCTTTTCAACAAACTGCTCCCCTCCTCCCTGGTACCATCGGCCTTGTGGGGTTGACGAGCTTCCTTGGTGCGACGCTCGCTATTTCCCTCGCATCAGACCTCCTGTGTGTGCTCACCGCTCACATGTACGTGTGCTATCGCCTAGTGGCAGTCGTGTATTACCACCAGCTCCAGCTAGTTGGATCACTATGGAAGTTATTTCGTGGTGCGTTAATGTTTTGCTTACGCATCTTGTTTTATGATAGGAGCATTGTACGAGAGATGCTGATATGGGCTTTTGTGTTTCAAAGGAAAACGGTACAATGCACTTCGTAACAGAACAGATACATGGGACTACGACATCGACCAGCTCTTACTTGGCACCATCCTTTTCACACTCGTCGCGTACCTATCACCAACCATAACACTTTACTATGCACTCTTCGCTCTTGTATGTCCATCCATCCCGTGGCTAGTCACCAACAAATCGCTAACAGACGGATTGGTAGCTCCGTTTATCCATCGTATTTCTCCACGCAATACTACAAACATTACTCGCATTTATAAGTCACTTCCCTCTCTTTGCATTAATGTTAAGGGTTAAAGACCCTTGGCGAGTTCCTGGTGAGTGATAGTTTTGACGCACTGCCTTTATTCTTCTCGCCGTTGCTGCCTTGAAACTTCCCTTTTTGAGGGAAAACGATAGTCGTGTTCTTATGATATATGACTGACTTTGCGCCTTTGCACTCATGATTAACACAGGCGGGATATACCTCAGTCCACAGACCAAGTCCAAGTCTATGCAAAATGTACTCGTGGTCGAGGTGTGTTTCACCCTTTTCCCGCTCTATTTCATGTTTCTGACATGGTTCCCTTTTATTCTCTTTTCCTCAAACTTACAGAACTGCCCTCCGACTCTATCGGCCATCTTTTTTCAATATGGTCAGTCCAGTCATGCATACTCTTTTCGATGCTCGTATAACACACTAGAGGTTGATAACGCGTTTTCATGGCTTTTTATAGCGGAGTTGTGGACATGGCTCGCACGACACTACCACCCGATACAATTACTTCGGTGTATTGTCACGGGAGCATTCTTGACTGTAGTCACAGGGAGCTTTTAGCAACATGGCGGGGTCTGAGGAATAGAGACTTGCGTGATCATCTGAGCCACTGTCAGAGTAAAGTCTGGAAGAGGGCTTTTGAAAAAGTTGTAAAAGACAAGAGGGCTACGCTGTTGTAATCGTAGCGACTTGCGAGACGCTTCGGTCATTCTAGGGCATTGTGAGTGACCACGGACAGCCTGTGCATGGCATGATGGACGAACGATGTGTCCATGGGCTTGTCCGCCAAGCACGGCTGCCATAACATCCGAAGTTGTAAAGAACAACAGTGATTGGCTATTGTTCCGTTGTATTCCCTGATCAGGACGAGAGCCTAGTGAAATCATTGCCACATAAATTCCTTCAAGGCCTCAAGCTTCAAGGTCCTGTCGCCTTTGCTAATGTCATTCCAAGCTCTCCTACCACGCCTCCATACCAGACATGTCAAGAAACCGATTAATTACCTGATTCAAGCCACGAGGTAAAGATGGCGTGAGCAAGGCCGTTTTTTCAGAGGTGCATCGACAAGTAGTTATCAGAGACTGATCGCTTTTTGTTTTCAGAAATTACAATGTGTATGAACCATTACTACAAAAGCGGGGCGGGGTGATGAGAACGGTCCTTGCATTTCATTTTCTGAGAACTTGGTACAAAGCTATAGTACCTCATGCCAACGAGGAAGATTGGTTCGTACCCCTGCGGATAAGCCGATGGGTACCATTGCAGCACTGACCATCGTTACATCGAAAGCTTACCGCAGGCCCACGTCCGCCGGGCCGGTGCGTTCGAAACGAAATGGGCAGCGCCATCCACAGGATCTGGTGCAGACGTTCATGTAGCTCCAGACAGGTAATTATACCTTTTAAGCTCTTTCAAAATGCTCACTGTATCATTTACTGCAGCCAATCATCTAGTTCACATCAGAAAACCGATGCCCCAGCCACTTCTCAACAACCATTTTGGGCCGACCACTGGCAACCATCCGGTGAGCCCACAATTTCAAGTTATTCTGCTAGTAAGAAGTCCAGGTAAGTCGATGACATAAAATTGCACATAGCTCTAGTCTCTTAGTCAAACACGTAGGAGAGGCCAAACGCGGCTGAGGGACGGGTACCCCTGGTTCAAACCAAGCTGAACCACAGCTAAGCAGTTCATTAAAGTTGACTTACTGGATTATCTGCACCTTCCATTTCTCATGATGACATGTAAATGTGGACATTGTGACAATTATTTTTGCATTCGGGTGTTGGGCATATTCTTCATGAATTTCTTAGCATATGCAAGGGCGGTGTGGTTCTGGCTGCTTTGCCATTCATGTCCTATCAATGGACTCTTTTATGCGCTGATACGTATATCCCTGCAGGCATGATCCGTAGAGTGGCTCTGATGCGTTCTCGTCTGGCTCGACGCGTTACTCCGAAGTCATTTGGGTGTGAAATTGAAGCTCTCGTTTTCAGTACGGTTGCTCGTTTGCGATACATGGAAAGACCAGAGGGTGAGCGATAGTCGAGACCATAAGACATGGACCACACTCGCTCATACTTTTTTCAATGCTAGGTGATGTCTCTCCTCGTTTGACTCAGCTCCTAGTAGTTGATCCAAGACAAAGTATCTTCGATATACCAGATTCAGATTCAGTCGATAGCCTTGGTATACCCATTTTACACATCGCTAACTCGAAAGTCGTGGGTCCCTAGGACAATGTGACTAGGCAGTTGGCACATGGGGTTATAAGCAAACGCTATGGGGCCTGTCCACCCACGGTTCCACCCATAACGTGATGCGGGCTGAAATGACGCTGAAGCTGTAAATAACTCAATGGTTAGATAAGATGACTCGTTCTTCAAGTTCTCACATTCTCCGATCAGGACAAGAGGCTTTGACTGGCTTGGACAAAAGTTTATCCATACCAGCGCCTCGTCGTCGTCCCACCTTTGCTCGTGAGTTGGTTGCTACCACTCTGAGTCTCCCTACCATGCCTCCGCGTAAAAGACGTCAAGAACCAGATTATTTACCAGCGCCCGAAGATGTAAAGCTGGCGTCATTGCTGTGAGCATGGCCTCTATTTTCAGAGGTGCACTGACGAGAGCTTTGGAGAGCTGATTGTTTTGTTTGTTTTAGAGATTATGATGACTACCTTGTACGTGAATGTTTATTAGAGGCGTAGGGTGGAATGGTGAGAACAGCTTTGGCATTTTCCAGGAAGCCTGGTACGAAGCTGTAGCGCCTGATTCCGACGAGGATGATTGGTTGGTGGCCACAAATAAAAGCTGATTACTATACATTGAAATTACTGACCATCATTCAAGCTATCACGAAGCCCATGCCTTTGCCATTGCGTTTGAAAGCAAGTCGGTAGCACCGTCCGACGACGTTGCGCTAAATAGGTGTAGTATCCCTCCTCTAAGTTCAAAATTGGTCTGGACAGTCGTCGTTCCTACTACTGCGTCATTTACAGCCAATCATCTAGTTCAGGACAAAGAGCCAATGCCCCGATTGTTTCTCAACAGCGGTCTCCGACTGATCGGCGGCGGCCATCCGCTCAACCCATGACTTCAAGTCAGTCTACCAATAACTTGAACAAGCCCAGGTCAGTTGATAGCACAAACTAACATGCGGCTCTCGCGATCATACACTCACGATGAGTAGTACCACTACTAGGGGAGTCCAAACACAGCCAAGGAGACGATATCCCCGGTTCAAACCAAGCTGAACGCCAACCGGTGCCTGCACAAAAGTTGAAAGTTGATTCCATGACGTTGCGGTTCATCGAAACTGGTTTTCTGAAATTTCTGCACCGTCCATTTGTTCATGTTTTTGTGAATTGTGTGCATTGTAACAATTGGTGTGACCCTCGCGCTTCTATTCCTCAAAATCCTTTCGTCACACAGATTATAGCATTTTGTATATCATCAGGTATTATGCACAGACATAAGACCACCGCAGGTGGAACTTCAAGGTGAGATATCTCACCTTGACAGTTTCCTCGAACAATATCATTATCAATGCGTGTTCCACCGTTAAGTTGACATGTTGTGGCTTGCGTACAATATAGTAAGAGCAGGATCAGAATGAGGGATAGCAGAGACATCGTGTGCTATCCCTGATGGGGGGCATGCTTGGAGTAGGCCTGGAAGGGAACCAGATAAGGAGAGGAAGATTAGTAGGATAAGCAATGACTTGGAGATTTGCACAAAATATTGACAAAAACTTCAACTACTTTCAGGATTTAGATAAGATATTGCAGCTGACATCAGCTGGTCGAACATCCAGTGTAATATACAAGTGAATTACAAATGTTCATAATTCCAACTCCAATGCTATACTATTGATCTCTCCACAAAATTTGTCACACCTGTGCACCTTTTCCAAACCAAATTCTATAACCCAGAATTCATGATTTTGATGACCATGGATCACATTTCTGGGCTCAACATCATTATGGATGATGCTCAAGTCATTTGGATTGATCTATTGATAAGATAAGAAGCTCAGATCTCGTTGCAGAGTCTGAGAATACATTTAAGTAAGTACCTATTGATAAGATAAGAAGCTACACTAATAATCAGCTAGGTATTTGAGAAGGGAAAAAACGTAGAGGGTCTCACCTCAGATCTCGTTGCAGAGTCTGAGGTGATACGTGGCAACCAGGCCCTCTTTATAGGTAAGTAAAATAACGGAATCAAAAATTTGATGGTATATAGTGGTGCATGGGCCACCCAAACTTACTCGCCTTCCTTTCTAGGCGCTTTGTACCAGCTTGACTCAATACTCGACATATTTATTCCAACAGATGCCACATTTGTGGATATTCATCAAGGTGTTCACCAGCTGTAGTCTGAGAAAATTTGTTGGTGTCAACAAATATGTAGAGCAGTTGGTATTGTCTTACTTGTCTGCCTTTTTGTGAGTTGAAAATTCCTCCAGCTGATGTCATGCACCAAAGTTGATTTTGTCAGGCAACAAATACGAAGCTATATAACAATAACCAATGTCTGGCCAAGTCCTTGGAGAAAGGCGGTGGATCAGAGTATGGAGACTGAAGAGTATCTGTATAGGTGCGAATCCAAACTAATATTGAACTAAAGAATAATACATGGAATATCTACTCCTTATATACTGAATAGTAGCGGTCAGGCCAGAAAGCAAGAAAGGTACAAGAGTGGCCTGACTAAATGGTTAACCAATCAGAAAAAAGGGAAGTGGTCCAATCTATTGTATTTACTAATCATATAAGAGAGAGCCTCAGTAAGAGATGTACGATTGGCTGTATCAGTAAGCCCATGAGAAGATACTGAGTCACAGCCTACATCGCTGATTAATCTCTTGCCAAAGTATTCCTGGACATAGCATTGGATTATAGCTACGCCATTTGGATATCTTCTCGAGGGTCTATGATGGTTCTCCTTTGTTGTAAGTATAATAGAATGTGAGTATGAAGGGAAAATAAGAAGAAGAAAGATAGAAGTAATAAAGTACTGGCTGTGATCTCTAGTCCAAGGGCGAGAGGAGTGATGGGGAACAAGTTGGATAACCACGACATGATGGGAATGCAATGAGAAAAATTGATTCCTCACAGATTGGTAGCATGGACAGGTGTCAAAAATTCAAAAGATTTGCCTTTGTGCCACACAGGCACAGTGCCATGTGGAATATTAATTAATGCTACCTTTTTTATACTTGTGGCTGATTAGCAGTCATCTCTATTAGGCAACCAAGTTGTGCCTACCTCTGCTTTTCATCCAGTATTTTCCACACTCTGTGCTTTGGTGATTTGTGTTACAATTAACATACCAGCACCTATTTACGCTTTACTTTTCTGTACTTTCACTCCTCATTTTCTAAGTCACATGACCATTTATTTTACTTTACTTTTTGGACTTTTCATAGTTGCATGCCCAATCACATGACACATCACCTGACCAGTGTCTAGACTCAACATGTGACTGGTCACATGCTGGATGTCGGACTTTAAATTTTATATACAACTGTACAGTACCTCATGTGTTGTAGTATATATACCTGAGCAATACATGGGGAAGGACCCAGCAAGTCCTCTCCTAGTGTCTATCAACATTAGTGAGGACAAAACTGACAAAACTGGATAAATCTGGTCTCTGCCGAAGCAGCCATTGTTCTCCATGGAGCATAGCCACCACTCCATGGAGTCAACATTGTTCTCCTAGGAGTCATTATACTATAGCGAGTAGCACCTCCGGCTATAAGTAGTAGGGGGTTTAGTATAGAAATACCTCAGTCGTTTCTATAGCCTCTTGGGCAGTGGTGTCATGCAAGAAAGTTGATTGGTAGCATGGACAGGTGTCAATAACGAAGCGAATATTCAAAAAGACTCGCCTTTGCGCCACACAGGCACAGTGCCACGTGGAATAGTAATTAATATTGCCTTTTTTGAACTTGTGTGGCTGATCAGCACCACCTCTATTAGGTAATCCAGTCACGCTCACCTTTGCTTTCGCATTCAGTACTTTCGGCATTTCGGCATTTCGGCAAATTTTTGCATCACCACTGGCTACACATTGCATTGTGCCCTTGCTTTTGTTGTTTCCTTCACTTCCCTTCCTTTGCCTAGCCCCACCATGGGTCCCTTACTCTCGTTTTTATTCTCACCGACGGTCGTTTCTGGATCCCCATTTTAGTTCACCTCCTCGTCACCTCATCACCTCCTCGTCTTCTTTGCTCCCCCACCATTTCTGATGTCACCACTTCCTATCCGCTTCCATCACCGATCCATTGACTACCATGTGCCACTGCTGATATCAGCAAAGCCCTGGCGGCCGGTTCAAATAGGGCAACAGGTCCATCTTTATGACGTCGATCTACCATCATATACTATCAAAACATCGGTCGCTCGTCTTGCCTGGTTGGAGCATGGGTGGGTAGTTTTTGAGCTGGAGAAGGTTCATCCCTTGTGTCGCCCATGTTCATCGCTGTCCCATTCACTTGGGTACACTTATCTTTTGACCATCGTCTTCGCTACAGCTACACCTACCACACGCTGCCTGGGACTCACTTGTTCCAAATTGGGACTACTCCTCTCCCTCCCTTGTTTGACCAGGTGGTCCAATGCAACCAGTCCATTGGTAAGGCCATGGAACCGTCGAATTTGGACTAGGTGGTGGACTGGTGGCTCCAGTTTCTTTTTTTTCAGCAGAATATTCATTTACAGTGCAATTATTTTTGATTTTTGAATCATTTTTATGGACACATATGTTTTTAGAATGCCTGACTGACAATAAAGGAACTGTGTTGATACTGATATTTTTTTTGCCTTGCCCTTTTTTTACTGCATCTTCCCATGACATCATGATTTTCCTGCTCTCTTTCTGCTATTGGACTTTACTTTATGGCTGTACAAACCTGTGACATTACTCACAGCATTCATTGTTCTTTCCCTTTCTTTTCCTTTTTTTGACAATCTTATCCTGTACTACCTACGCAGGATTCGTCAGCGTACATTCCTTCCTTCATGTTCTTTCTCATTCTTTTTGCACAGCTATACTGTACATAGCCTACTTTTCTTTCACTATATAAACCCCTGTATTTTACCTTGTGAAAACAACAAGAACTCGAACCCAGACTTCTTCTCTAATCTCAAGTTCACTACTCACTACTACTTGTGATCCAGTGTGGTCACAACACTTCCCACTGCTACCACTGTTAACTGCTGTCATCGTCACTCGTCACTTTTCGAAAGTAATTGTTATCCCTTTTGATTAGAGTCCTTCTGAGCACTACAGTCTGTGCGTCAGGAGCCTGCTATCACTGGGAACTTTGTCACCTCGTCACATTGTCATTCTCAAACCTACCTTGTGCTACAATTAGCAAGGTAGTGCTCATCTATACTCATCACTAAGTCCCTATCTTCTATAAAATTCAACTATCCCTCCTCCTCAAAACCCACACTCATACATCTCTGGGTTTTACTTTGAAGGATCGTTATACGTACCACCCCACAAACAACCAGACCACTCCACTGTTCTAGGAGGCAAAGCCCATAAACAAGTTCTGTGGATTCTGGGAGGATTGTGTGTTAGTTTGTTTTTGTGTGTGTGGTTTTCTAACAGCAGTTCTCATCATCGACACCGTGGCTATCAGCAGCTACTGTTCTTCCTTCCATTCTTGAGGCAAAAACTTGTTCACAGCAATGTTGATGAACTAGAAGACTTGTATGGACAAGTAAGTGGAAAACTGTGTCCAAGGAATGTGATCGACTGACTATATATCACCTAGCTTCGAAAGGGAGCTGATGGAGCTCGGGGTGACGACGCCAGTAGTTTAAAGTATTTGGTCATCTCATGGTTGAACAAGATGCATCACCCCATTGAGCCACCTTTGAATACAAACACAAAGGACAACCGTGGCTTTGAACATACAGTCACGGGATACCTTTTGTGTCCAATTGACTATGACTGGTCTGATGTGTCGTAAGTTTTTTCTTGTTTCTTTTATATGTATAACATTCAAACATGATTCTGTAGAGTCCGCAAGAATATACGAGAGCGTCACCCTGATTTCTTAGTGACGGCTGATGCATGGCCTGCATTTCTATACCCAACACCTGGTCAACATTTGCTGGAGGACCCTAGCAGGGGATTGCTCCGGTTGCAGCTATTACTAAAGGTCAGCTGTGTTTACCATTTACTGGTTTTTGTTTGCTGACACCCCCCAGGCTTTCAAAATGATATTCACATCTCCATCATCGGCTCGGGGTGATGAAAACTGTGCTCCTGCCATATACCTGGATCGCTCACATAGTAGGGGAGAGAAGTCTACTCGTTCTCATGTGGCATCATTGATGGGCATGAGGACTGTTACTCCTCGGGCAATTGCATACGCTGCAGTACAGGTAAGCTATGTCTTATCAGCCAAGGACTTCACTGAGAAAATGTTAGCTCCGGTTTGCTTTGTCAAATGTCAGTTCCTGGCGTCAATTTGATGAAGACTTTGACCTTGAGGAGTTCTATAAAAATATACTGGACTGGTTTGAAGGCCCTGCAACCGAGAACCATCAAAAAGACATCAGTGAACTGTTGCTGTGGTGGGATGGGTGAGTACATTGAAACCTCCTCATGAAATCATTGACGGTGTCTTATTTTCCTGAGGCATATCATAGAAAAATATTCGGTAGGAATAGACATATTGTGATACCGAGGGAAATCCGGAAAAACATGTCAGTCGCTCGTTCTCTGGCACATCGCACAGGCATGAGGGTTTAGTAGTATTACTATTATCAAAATTTTTGTTACATATCAATTAGAAAATACAAAGATAATGTTGTTTCAAATGATGCTAAGACAAACACGGATAGAAGCGACAACAGTACATTAGAGAGTCGACATGCAAATGTTGTTAATTGTCTTCACCCATCATAATTGCTTCACCTGGCACAAAAACTATGTTTGACGTTGTATCGTAAGGCTCGGGCATCATTGGCACTGACTATGAATGGGAAACAACATTCTATAATGTGATAGAGCAAGGTCAGACATGATGGAAATGGCTGCCAAACGCAACCAAGAACATTGGTTATGACATCTGGGAGTCTATGAATTCGTGAGGGGGTTGAGGCAAACACTCACCTATGGTGACAGTAGCGAATGGTGGCAATCCAGCAGTCACATTGAATTACCATGAAGGACCTGATCGACGAGATTTTGGTTGCGCACCGGAGCATGAAAGATTCTATAAGACAAGCCTTTACAACGGACTAACCAAATGGTAAGACAGGCATCCTCTAGACAGCCGCGCCTGAAGGTAAATAATGACAGAATCCTAAATGCAGGTGTAAGACATGAGCATGGTGTCCGAAAACACTGATGGCAATAATTAATGAAAGCAATGCAACCGTAATATGATGGGAACCGCTATTAGCGACAGTCACAATGAGAAACCATGAACATACACGTTGCTAATGATTTATTCCTGTGGATTGCATTGAAATCCCTTGTGCAATTGCAGATAATTATTAGCTGGATTGGAGTCATTGCTGTGATTATAATTACTTTATAATGAATTGTGGAATTTTCATTGATTCAGTGATGCCGAGTGATCCCAGCTTGCTCGCAAATTCATATGGGCAAATATGATAAGTGCGAGCTAGCCGAGCAGGTTGGGGACGAGCCTAGAGTCCGGGCGTCCTGGACGCCCGCTTGGTGGAGCTGATATATACTGGTAGCATCCGACGTTCCTTTCGTTTTGAGAATCGTAGTCCAATCCCTTCTCCCGGGCTCACTGGCGCTCACTCCTTGATCTTTAAGCGAAAGCCCAGAGATTATCAGTAAGTGTTAGTGCAAATGTTGCGGTAGACCCGGTCTCAGGTGTGTATACATTAGGCCCACCTCTTGATGAGCCGACCTTGTCTCGTTCCTCAAATATAACAATATTACTTTGATGGAAGACATGAACTTGGGGTGTTCGTCCTTGAATACACCAAGTGAAGTGAGAAGCACACCACAAATGGATATGGTGCATATCGCACTCTTGACCTTACGTCCCATACAAGTCCGATCGTCGATCGTGTGTAGCTTTACATGACTGAAGTGGGGGCTTGCATGTTTTCAAAGGAGCGGCGACGACGAGGGAAGAGAAACAAAAAAACCCACTATCCAACATCACGAGCCCAAGGTCCAAACTCGAAGTCCACAGAATTCCCATTTATGAGCCATACAGAAAAGAGTCATGGGCCGGCGCTGAATCGGTGGGGGAGTTTGTGGATGAAGCATGCGCTGTGGATGTGTGGCGCTTCCTAGCTTCTGTCGGTTTTAGCCATACAATGTCCTATTCTCACAGGTTCTGGAGGGCACGGGCGTGGGGAAACCGAAGAAGAGGAAGAGAAGAAGGGGGAGGAGAAGTAGAGCAGACTTGGTCTTTACTTCTCCCGCGTCATGTAATACTGTGTTCGGCGTGTATGAGATAAATAGCAATTGCAGGGACACGTGCGAGGGTGGCGAATGTCAGAGTCGAGTACCAATACGACAGTATGAGGTCGCGAGTCTTTCTCCCTTGCCGATCTAATTATTGATACGACAGTCGATATCTATAATATGTTAGCAAAGAAAAGTTAGCAAGACCACTGAGGTAACGCGTTCATGGAGCGGTGGGTCGCGCCTGACACACGCAGGAGTATTATTAAAAGAGGCGGGATTTGAGAGAGCAGGCACGTTCTTGGATGAGACAGAAAGAGCGAGATGGTGCGCATCTATAGGGAGGATTTGCCGATAAGGAAAGAGCCGCGAGGATAATCGTGGTCGATCGTGGTTCTGTCACGCGACGGAGCTCCGTAGTGAGCTGCGGTCGACGACGACGACGACGGCGACGAAGAGAGGGAGTGCGCTGGGATGGACGACGAGGAGGGGTGCAGTTCGCGGACCGGACATCCCGGAGGTGATGTGTTGGGCGGGGATGACGACGACGGCGGTGAGGAGAGGAGTGACAGTGACTTTGTGACAGACGAGTATGACGACCTAAAGTGAACAAATGCTCAAGAAAGTGAAAGACGATCGGATAATCTTTCACTTATAACCCTCGACTCTTTCGTTCTGTCCTCTCCACTCTTTCCCTCTCTCCCCCATGGACTCCTTCCACGAACCGTATATCCGCCAAGGCGACGACATCACCATCGAACAGGTCCGTGCTCAGCTCTCCGCTCTCGAAGCGTCCCACAAGCAGCACGGCATCCAGCTCTCTGGTCGAGTCTTGCACGTCTGCCACTATCTCCCCGTCACAGCCACCCTTGCTTCCCCTTCCTCTCTCCCCCCATCTCCCCCTGCCACTCCACCCTCAAATACCTCAGACGTCCCCCCCAGTCCCTCCTCCTCTGCGCCCCCAACCATCGTCGCCAAACCCAATGACGCACAGACTCTCCCATCCGATGCAGACGACACCCCCCGCTGGTCTCTCTCTCCGCGATATGGCCACGCTGCCATGATATCCGGCATCCGCTCCCTCTCCTTCACCTACCAACAGCTCATCATCGGCTGGACAGGTGATATCCTCTCCTCCACCCCCGCCTCTTCCCTCCCCGCCTCCTCCGTATCCTCTCAGGACCGCGCAGCCCTCGAGGACGCACTCGCCACTTACACCCCACGCGAGGCTGACCCAGACGACGACAGAAAGACAACCTATGTCCCCGTCTGGCTCGACCAGGCCGTCGCACATGGGCACTATGATGGCTATTGCAAACAAAGTACGTCTCTCCTTCCGTCATCTCTATCTTACTTATCTCATCACTCACTTCAACCAGCCCTATGGCCCCTCTTCCATTATCTCCTCTGGCAAGACGTCGCGACTGAATACGCCTCCGCCGACTCTCACTACTCCGCTTACGCAGCCGCCAACCTCGCTTTCGCACAACGCATCGCACAAATATACGTCCCAGGTGACCTCATCTGGGTACACGACTACCACCTCCTCCTTGTCCCCAAGATGCTCCGCGCACTCATCCCAGACGCTGTCATCGGCCTCTTCGTACACACACCCTTTCCCAGCTCGGAGGTCTTTAGATGTCTCCCCCGTGCGTATTTCTTATTCCTTTTATGTGCCGCGGCTGTGCTAATTGACGCGATCACGCGTACAGGACGCAAAGAAATCCTCGACGGCATGCTAGGTGCCAACCTCGTCTGCTTCCAAACCTACTCCTACTCCAGGCACTTCACCTCTACCTGTGTCCGCGTCTGCGGCTACGAAAGCACCTCGCGCAAAACCGAGGCGCTCATCCAGGGTGCCTTTGGCGTTGGCGCTCCCAGTGGGACGCAGACGCCGGGAGGACAGGGTATGGTTTCAGGGATTGATGTGCAGGGACATGTGACGAGCGTGATGCATTGTCCTGTTGGGGTTGATGCTGAGAGGGTTGCGAGGGATACGTGCGTGTCTCCTCCTTTCATATCATCTCGTTCCACTTATACTCTATCCTCATCTAATACCATTTCACTAACCCTTTTCCTTTGGATGCACCAGACTTCGCCCAGGCGTGCAGCCTAAACTCGAGGCTCTCCGCTCTCTGTATGAGGGTAAGAAGATCATCATGGGTCGGGACAAGTTGGACGTGGTCAAGGGTGTATTGCAAAAGGTGCGTTTTCTGTCACAAACTGTCCAATGTCCACAGTCATTCTTTGTATATACGCTATTTTTGTTTTTGTTATCGCGCACATGTTTTCACAATGGCGTATTTACGCTCTATTTACCTGAATTGCATTCTTTATACATGCCCCGAAAAAGGGAATGAAGAAGCGTATGGTTGGCTTGCGCTTGTTTTGGATTCGGATGATTTTTCAAAATTTAAATCTATGGCGCATATATGCATATTAACTAACCTCCTCCTCTTCCCCTTCTCCCCCTGTTTTCATCTACACCCTTGCATAAACTATCCAGCTCCGCGCTTTCGAAAAGCTCCTCCACGACTACCCCGAATGGATCGGCCAAGTCGTCCTCATCCAAGTCACTTCCCCCGCCCTCTCCGATTCTCCCAAGCTCGAGCGCCAGGTGTCAGAGCTGGTGGCTCATATTAATGGAGAGTATGGGAGTTTGGATTTTATACCTGTGCATCATTAGTGGGTAGCATTTTAATGTTTTTTACCGCTTACTTTAAGCTCATGCACGCTCGTTTACTCACGTATTCACTCACTCCTCCAACACTGCACTACAGCCACCAAACGCTTAAGAAGGACGAATTCTACGCTCTGCTCTCAGTTGCCGACCTGGGCGTAATCACCCCCCTCCGGGACGGGATGAACACGACCTCGATGGAGTTTGTGATTGCCCAGGAAAAGTCTGGAAAGAGGAGCCCGCTGGTGCTTAGTGAGTTTATGGGGATTTCGCAACATATGGCGGATGCGCTTTTGGTCAATCCTTGGGATCTTGGGGTGCGTAACTTAAAAACTCAAAACTCAAAATGTTTAAAACGTAAAACCATCATCTCGTAACCTAACACTTCCTTCTTTGCCATCCCAGGACGTAGCCTCCGCCATGAACCGCGGTCTTCTGATGTCCGCCTCGTCAAAGTTGGCCCGGCACGAAAGGCTGCACAGAGTCGTCACCACGCACACCTCGCACACCTGGGCGCTCGTCCTCTCCAAGATGTTGTTGGCCCAGATGGGAGGGCAGGGGACGGCGAGGCGGACGCCGTTTATTGAGAAGGCGGTGTTGAAGGATGCGTATGACAAGGCTGGAAAGAGGTTGTTTTTGTTTGATTATGATGTGAGTTTTTTTTTTTTGCGCCATTCCGTCATTTTCATTCAATCATACCTATGCTAAAACGTTACAATGCTAATAAAAATCTTGTCAACCCCCACAGGGAACGTTGACGCCAATCGTGAAGACGCCAGCTATGGCCGTTCCCTCCCCCTCGACGCTCCTAGCGCTGACAAAGCTGACAGAAGACCCGAAGAACCTGGTGTACATCGTATCCGGGCGGGATCAGCTGTTTTTAGAGCAACATTTGGGAAAACTAAGCGGGCTGGGAATGTCGGCTGAGCATGGTGGGTTTATCAGGGAGCCCATGAGGGGCGGCAGTGAGGAAGGAGGAGAAGGGAAAGAGAGCGAGTGGGTGAATTTCACGGAGAGGCTTGATATGGAGTGGATGGAGGAGGTTGGGGAGGTGTTTAGGTATTACACGGAGGTGAGAGGGTGTTTTTGAAACCTTGAACCTTTACGTGTTATCGTGCTGAGGCTGGGTGTTTTGAGCGAGCGCTGACTTTTTCACCTCCCTTGTTTGTTTGGTCTTTGGTGTAGAGAACCACGGGGAGCCATATTGAGGTGAAGAAGAGCTCGATTACGTGGCATTATCGGGCGAGTGATCCAGAGTGGGGGTGAGTGCTCTTTTCTTTTTCGTGTCTTTGATGATCTCTTGGGATTTTTTCTATTTTATTTCGATCAAAATTCGTCTCGTCCAGCTGTGGTTTTTAGTATTTTTTGTATGTGCGCTGGTGGTCGGTTTAGATGACTTTTCATCATTTTTTTTGAATTATCTTTTCAGGTTGTCGACGTTGTCGTTGAATTTCCCCATCATATATGTCCTTTTTTTTCTTCCCGTCCCCTTCTCTTCCTTGTCCATTCTCTTCCAATGCTCAATGCTGATGCGCATCCCTTAAAATTAGACAGTTCCAATGCAGGCAATGCCAAGACCTCCTGGAGAACAATCTTGCGCATAAACGACCCATCGAGGGTGAGCTTCTTTTCACCCAACGTCCAAGAAAACCTAATGCTCAACCTCTTCCTTTTATTTAGTCCTTGTTGGGAAGAAGAACCTCGAAGTAAGGCCTATCGCGGTTAACAAGGTAATGTCTGCCCCGTTTTGCTTCCTCGCCTAGTCGGGACTTCACACAACAACACTAACACACGCTGAACAGGGTGAGATTGTGAAGCGCATCTTGTACCAGAACCCAGATGCAGATTTCATTTTTTGTGCTGGAGATGACAAGGTACGGTGGTTGACTCTTTTGCCCCAATAAACCCTCGTAAAAATAAACCATTCTTGAAACTCGTCTCATATTTCACTTGTCACCAGACCGACGAAGACATGTTCCGCGCCCTACACCTCTTCGCCACCGACGCAACGAGCGCCACGCTCGACCCGCCCCTCTCCATCACCCTCATCGACGACCACGCCGCCAACGGGGGGTCAAGCAAACCCGAACTACCTACCGTCGCGCTTGCTGTGAAACCCGAGGGCGTGTTCACGACCGCCGTCGGGCACATGAGCAAGCGTACGCTCGCGAGCTGGCATGTGACGACGCCTGAGGAGGTGGTGGGACATATGTTGCATCTCGTTGATATTGATCCTGCCACTGTCGCTTCTGCGCCGCTCGAGGATGAAGCTGGAGAGGAGAAGGAGACGAGTCATTTTTGAGTGTTTAGATCATAGATTTTTTTTTTCTTTGTTGTGTTTTTTTTTTCATCGATGCAAGCTATATAGTAAATATCAGAAGAAATCCTTTTTCACATAGATGGGGATCGTAAAGCAGTTTTTTTTGGTGTGTTGTAGGAATATAGTTGATTCCCTCCCTTATTGCGTAGAGATTCATAGTGATACCGATGACTGGAGGAAAATTGTACAAGTTGCTTAGAGTTTACTTGGAGGTTTAAGTAACAACTCCAATTGTATTTTTATTATATTCGGGAACAAGACGGTTAGATTTCAATAGAAACCTTGAATTCCACGAAGAGAAATTACAGTAACAGCAACTAGCAACTATATTTTTTAGGTGGAGACACAGAGTGGAGTAGGCATGAACGTATTTTGGTTTGTCGTTTGAGAAACACGTTTGCGCATTGAAAAGGACAAGAAAAAGACGGACAAGAGGGAAGAGAAAAGGAAGGAGCAAGGGTGATCAAGAAGTACACAGCACATGACTAGATGTCAGCCTGGATGGGCACCACTTGTCCGCCCTTTGCTGCGGTGGGCGTAAACGTGTGCCAGCGATCGTTGAAACGAACGTCTAAGAGTATTAGAAGGTGAGAAACATGTAATAAGGACTGTCCAATTGCGATTACATACCCAAAGGTCGCCCTCCGTACATGTACTGTTGGAACTTGGCTGCAGGGCTGTAAGCAAACCATTGAACACCGACGAAAAAGTAAACATACCGATAGCCGTCTCCGCTTCTGGCATCTGCGCAAATTGTACAACACCGCATCCCTTGGACCTCGTACCATCAAAGAGGATCTCAGCCAGTTCAACCTGGCCTGTCGTCTCAAACAGTTCAACGAGATCCTCGTTAGCAGTCGACCACGGAAGCTAAAGGAAAGGTACATTTAACAACAGATTGCAGAATAAATTGAGACGTGTCACATACGTTGCGGACCATAATCTGCTGACTGGGCTCGGCTTCGGCAAAATTGCCTCCTCCACTTCCACCAGCATAGCCGCCCCCAAAGCCTCCACCACCACTGCTATAGCTGTCCATTCTCAATCCACCAGGCGCCGTGGGCTGGTCAGGGCCAGAGTAATCCGCATACAGGTCTTGATTGGAGAAGTCACGTCCTTGGCCGCCATGAGCGAAGCCTCCACCACGGAAGCCTCCTCCTCGCACACTGCCTCTGAACCCACCACGTAGACCACGACCGCCGCCACCGCCGCCGAATCCACCACGGAAACCACCACGGAAAGCGCCTGGGCCAGATAGACCTGCGTAACGATCCTGGAATACGATAAATCAAGAAATGTTGGTGACAACAGAAATTGTCTACCAACCTCTCGGACCTCAAGCGTACGACCATACCAGTCGAAGCCATGGTACATACCTATCAATGAATTGTAAGTGCGAACGTGTAAACAACGCACGCAAACTTACTGATGGCCTGCTGGGCATCTTTTGGCGTCTCGAAGACGACTGTGCCCGACCCTTTAGGACGACCGTCCGCACCTATATTGATGTCAGCCCGGATAATGTTACCAGCGGCACGGAAAAGATCCTTGAGGTCTTGCCATCCAGCTTGGTAAGGCAGCTGAATTGGAAATACATCAGAATACAGAATGAAAGTAACAACAGTCAACTCACATTGCCGACATAGAGCTGATTTCCAGGGTTGGAATGCGTGCCAAAGAAGTTATGATGAGGAGGACGTGGTGGGGGCGCCGCATGTAGACCTTGCCCTGCCATTGCCATACCTATCTTACCAGGAACAGGTGTCGCACCAAATCGCGACTCGTTCTCGCGGTCCTACAATTGTTGACATGAGAAAGATAAACCAGTTGTGAAAACTTCACCATACCTCACGAATGAAAACAGGCCGCCCTAACAGCGGTGTTTCGGACAATTCCCGAATTGACCGCTGTGAATCTTCTTGCGAGGCAAATTCGACAATACTATAATGTGTGGAGGATGAAAATCAATCGCGTATAATGGGCAAAAATTACTTACCCGCATCCTTTGGAGACACCAGTAGGTGTAACGAGTACTTCGGCGAAGAGGACCTCACCAGCTGCCAACCCCAAAAGAAAAACTCCCATCAATATCCTCTCGACTCAACCATCCATCAGTCATAAAACCGGAAAAAATAAAGCGCCACTGCCACTGCTCCTCTCTTCAAAAGAAATTTGAGCTCGCAATGTATAAAAAAACCACATCATCTGTCTCCCCTTAAGCGAGCTCTCTGAACGATGAATATGCGCCAACGGCCACACGCCTCCCCCTTTGAATGTTTCGGAAAAACTAAGCTAAGATTCCCCCACCCACCTCCCCTCATGAATTCCATTAGGTCCCTGTACTTGACGTCGTAGCTGAGGTTGCCGACGTAGACCCGATTTTCTCTCTTGCTGATTTTTGCGAATTCAACAGCTTCTTCATGGTCCGCATTCATTGGACCACCAAGAGAACGTGCGAAAGGATCAGCAGCTCTACGGTCACGACTACGGGAGCGAGTCCGCGACCTCGACCGTGAACGGCTACGAGAGCGCGACCTGCGGGTATGACGACGCGGAGATGCAGAACGACGTCTGGACCGCGAGCGTGACCGAGTGCGCGACCGCTTGCGACGCTAAATTATAAGCTCTCAATCAAGAAGAATGACAGATTCATGTTGAGAGTACTTACATCACCATTACGCCTCTCATCCCTATCATGAGGCTCCCAGTGATCGCCAGCACCACCTCGCCGACTTCGACCTGTTTGTGACACAACAAATGACAGGTACCTACATGAAACATCGTTTAATGGTCAGTAAACCTGAAGACTCACCAGATTCACGACGACTGTCGCGGTCTCTGTCGCGGTCTCTTCTGTCGCGATCACGGTCACGATCTCTGTCTCTTTCCCTTTCCCTGTCTCTATCCTTATCACGGTCAAAGTCACGGTCCCTATCCCTGTCTCTTTCCCTACTGACTACAGGTGCAGTGACTGCCTTGTCGTCAACGTCATCTTTCATCTTCATATCCACATCCATGTTGGGCTAATGGTCTCGTGATAACGTCAGGAATAGGTGTAAGCGTTGAGCAGGAGGGAGGAGAGAAACAGACAGGAAGAAAAGCCAATTTTCTACCAAGTGGCAAGCCTGAAGATGTTTACAGTCGGCTCCTCAAACGGACTTCGAAGTTATGGCAGGAGTTCCGATATCCGACACTGAGGATGGCCAGTACTGGAAAAGTTAATTTTCAGGATGTGCAACCACTTTTGTGGGGAAACCACCAGTTTATATGGGGAAATTCAACCTCACATGCAAACAATAACTATATTTTCAGGTGATAAAACAAGGTTATAAATAACTCATTTATGGCCAAATTCCTTATTGAAGCAAAGAAGTACAATGATGAAAATCAATTGATGTATGATGATTAGTGTACAATAGCATTTTGGACCTATTTTTCATTTTTTTACTTGCAGACTCTGTGCCACATGGCACTTACTATATGGGGATGTTACTATGGTGGCTGTTTGGTTACAGTTTGACTCCAAACACTAAGCTGAGACTTTTTTGAAGGCCAACATGATTAGGTGTCATTTCTTGTAGTGGTTGAATATACCTTCAATTTTGTGACCACGATCTGCAATCCCTCAGTTAAGATAATCAAAAATTGTGCATGAGCCAATAAATTATGGTTTATAGTGGGCACCGAGCTGTTGAAATAGTCAAGGTTAAAGCCTGTTAGCCTTGTTGGAAAACACACATTTGTATAAGGGCTGGTAGCTCAGTTGGTACAGTGACACCAAAAACTGTTGCAATATTTGGCCTAAACACGGTATGCAAAGCACACCACTAACAGGCATGGGAATGTCGCTTAACTTTGGTGAGGTTGACAAAAGTACTTGGTCTTGGCTACAAAATGGTTCCTGGGTCATGTGATTTGGCCCAGCAGCTGTGGAGATATGTCCATTTCAAAACAGCAATACCATTGCAACAGTTTTTTCACTTTTGGTATCAAGGGAGATATCTAGGGAATATCAGTACTTGGTATAGCCTCCTTTTGCCTTGAGCACTGCTTGAATCCTCCTAGGCATGCCTTCAATTAAGTTGTGACACTCTGCAACTGCTATCTTCTCCCACTCCACTTGAATCCTCTCCCACAACTCCTCCATCCCATTAGGAGGGTGTTCATACTCTGCAAGCCTCCTTTTGAGACAACCCCATCTATGTTCAATAGGATCAAAGTCTGGAGACTGTGCAGGCTACACCATAGTTCTAAGTTCCTGATCATCTAGCCACTCCTTGACCTTTTTGCAGGTATGCTTGAGGTCATTGTCTTGCTGAAAGATGATGTCAAGAGAATTGAAACCATAATACTGCAGGGTGTTTAACAGCTCATCCTTCAAAATCTGAAGGTAAAGGTCCCCATCTATCCTACCATCAATTCTAGCAGCATACCCAACTCCTCCCAAGTCATACGGCCCCAGATCATCATAGAACCTCCTCCAAACTTGACAGTTCCCTGTACCAATCTATCACTGAGCCCCTCACCTGGCTTTTTCCACACCCACTTGCGTCCATCTGACCCCAGGCGATTGATTTTGGTCTCATCAGACCATACAACCTTCTTCCAATCCTCCACAGTCCAGTCCTTGTGAGCATGAGCAAAGTCCAACCTAGCCTTACGATGCTTGGCAGAGAGAAGAGGGTGTTTCTGCTTGACCGCAGCCTTCATGCCAGTCTTTTTCAAGTGCTGGCAGACAGTATTTGGGGAGAGAGGTTAGTTGATGATGTTGGTAAGAGCTTTGGTGATCTGGACAGCATTTTCTGCCTTGCAAGTGGAAATGAGATACATAGCATGGCAGACATTAGCAGGAGAAAGCTTAGATGGATGACCTCCAACGGACTTTTGGAGCTCAGAACGCTCCTTGGAGCAAAGTCAAGAGATGGTAGAGACATTGGCACCAGTGGTAGAGGCAATGGAGTAAGCAGTTTGACCTGCATCAA